AAAAGAGGAAAGAAAAAAAAAAAAAGAAACTGCACTGTTTCCTTCTCCCATCTTGTCATGGACTGGACCTGGACCCAGCAGCCAGACAGGAATTGTGACCACCCTGTTCTCATATGGTTTGGTTTGGAGCAGAAGTAGGATAAGTGATTTTGCACTTTATCATGTCATAGAGTGGTAAGAGAGCTACAGTATCTCCAAAAATCACATGATCTGGACTTGAACTGCCTAACAAAGGGTTAATTCCCTCTCTAAATTTCTACGAACTTCCATATTCTAACTTGGTTTCCCCTGAATTGTTACCATTGCTTGGGTTTTGCAGTCATGGACATGTTTGAGCCCTGCAAGAATCAGTTGCCACTAAATAGCTCCTGAGGGCTAAATTAATTCATGGATCCACACCTTGTTTGGGGGAATCTTCTGGCTGCAGTCCAACTCCAGCTTATTCTGTACAATCCCCACAAGTAGAGAAATGTGACATGGAAGCCACTATGGGCAGTGACCCCAAAATGAAACCTCTCAGGGTTTGTTTGCAGGCAGGTGAGTGTTGTTCTGCTGCCTGCTGGGCTGTCCTGCAGGGTCAGCACATCAAAACACAGCCCAGAATCTCCCAGTCTCTGTGTTGGAGATGAAGGGATTTTTGAGCTGGGTTATGTGTGGTGTTCATAGTTCTGTCCCTTTCTCTCCATTTAAGATGCCAACTTTTGTTTTTACCAAGTCCCTTGGTGCTACAGTACATCCTGTAGCTGTTGTGTGATGGTGCTTAAGAGCTGCCAGCATGAACCAGCAGAAGGTTTGTGATTTAAACCCAACCCAAATGTGCTGAGCAGAGGCAGCACCAATGCTGGGGCTGTTCTGCAGCACTGGAGGGTCACACCCATAAATCACTGCCTTATCACTGCTGCTGCTGTGCTCACTGAGCTTTCAGATCAAGAGCAGGATGGGATCCCCTGGTTGGCTCCTGTGGCTTTGTGGTCTCCACCTGCCAGGGGATCTAAAGGGTTGAACAATTAACAGGTGTGCAAAAATATCCTTAAAATATTTTTAGCTGCAGTATTTTTATTCTCGTGTCCAATGCACTGTTGAATCAGCAGCTAAGAATTCACTTTCACCTATTGTTGTGCCATCTATGTAAAAATTAGATCAAAGTTTGCTTTTCTATATTTAATCTGGGTGGACAGTATATTATTGTCAGCCTCTGTGGAACATTGGAACAATTGCAATGTCTGTGTTTCGAAATTGTGCTGTAGAAGGAGCATTAGCTTTAGCTGACTGATTGATTCCTGAAGTTTTATTAAAAGACCATGTATGGAGTTTTTATAAACTTGGCAAGTAGTTCTCAAAAGCCTGGATCTTAAAACTTATTTAAGAAATAGTCACAGTCATATCTCATAGTCTGCACATGTTTATTCTGCTGCTGTTATTCAGGGTAATGAATAATTTTTGTAGAATTTACCTTTGGCAAACGCTGAAGAACTAAATATGTGACTGGTTTATAAAAACTCTGCTTGGATTTACTAATCTTGCCCAGCAGCGTGGACTGTACATCTTATGAAATTTCATGATCCCCAGCAAAAGTCTCTAATGCCCTTTCTTAACACCTGTAAATAGAGAAGAAACATATTTACTGATACTCAAAGTTGTGTTTAATGCTGAGTATTTTTCAGAAGTTCATTTAGTTTGATGCATATTGTTCTTTGGTTTTTTGTTTTCCTGCCTGAAATGACAGAAGACCTAAAAGAAGCCAAATTCTATTTTAACATGATGATGTCGAGCACTTTTTTATTTGTATATGTGTGTGTATGTGTGTTTGAGCACTGATCTCGAGATCTCGGTGGCATCTCAGTGTTGTGATTTCATTGCCAATGTAAAAGGTTCTGGTGTTGCCCATTCATTTCTGGAGACAGAATTCAATCAAATAAAGTGCTTCCATTTGAAAGCGAATATTGACCTTGTAGCAATGAAACAAAGTCATCTGCATATTTAAATAAACATTTAATTCCAGAAATACAGTTGCACTGGACCCTTTTGATCAGCCAGACAGGAAGAAAAATGGATTTGTTGCTTTTCTTTCCCAACAGAAAGGTTGGTGCCTCTTTGCTGTGGCTCTTGGGGCTGTGGAGGTGCAGCCATTGCTCTCCAGGAGCTGCTGCTTCCCTCATGTGTCCAGTGGGGAGTGGGAATTTAGATTTGCCTGTGGCTGCTGCTTCAGCACAGAGGAATTCAGGCTAAAACTCCCCAGGGCTGCTCTCTTACTCCTCATTATTCTTCCTGACTGTGGGGTGGATTTGGGTTTTGCTTCCAGCTGTAAAATGTACATGGAACAGGTGGATCAACACATTCCAGTGCGGTGCTGGTGTGGTGTTCTCTCTTCAGAAAAGTGAGGACACATTTTCACTTGTTGGCTTTGGTTTTGTTTTTTATTTTGTATTATTTCCTACTGGAATTTTCAGGAGTAATAATTTGGCTCTTCTGTAGTCTGTCCCACGGAGCTGGGTCCCATCAGGTCACTTTGAGATTTGATTTTATCAAACTTTGACCTTTCCAGCTGGCACTGGAGAGAGAATGAAGTGGTTGGGTTGTTTGTTTGTTGGTTTTTTAACTTAGTCATGTGAGGAGAAAGGAGAATGGACTGTTTAGCTGGAGCTGGTTTTGGAAGGGCAGGTGCTTTGTGCTTTTTCAGTAGGAGCCTAAGAGAACTGGAAACCTGGGGGAAAGATTTCATCTAAAGAGAGTTGTACGCTGGAATGCCTGTGGTGAATGCTCTGGTTTAGCTGGAAGCCTTGGCAGATGTTTTTGATGCTGATTGGTTTTATTTTAAAACTCAGGTTGTTGCAAGCCTGGTAGGGAATGGTTTGGGCAGGGATGTGTGGATGTGCACGTGTGTCCAACACAGCAATGCCTCCCTTCACCAGATAATCCAAAAACCAGCAGATTTCTGGGACTCTGGCTGAGATGTACAATTCCATTCTGGTGTGCAGGGTTGTGAATAATGTGTGTGTGTCTCCAGCTGAGAGAAAAGCCCCCAGCTCTTGGCCAGCTTCTCCATCACCCCTTGGTCCAGGTCACTGCAAAGAGCCCATCCAAGAGCCAAGATTTGCAGTTTTCCCACTCAGTAGGTGACACCTGGTGGTCCTTTCATCTGACAAATAATCTAGAGATGATTTTTGTTTAATGCAGTCAAGCTGCTACATTTCTTCAGCAGGATTTCAGTTGTTCTTTGCCAGCACTAATTACCATCCCTGTCAGCTCAGGACAGATCAGGGCTGCTTGTGACAGGCTGCTGGTCTTTGGTTTTGGGCAATAATGAATAGGAGGGGGTGTTCCTCTGGCTCTCACTTGGATTTATCTTTCACAGAATCAGCACTGCTGACTTAAAATAGAAAAGGCACAACCAAAGGGGTGGGGGAGAGCTGGGGGTGTAGAGCTGAGCAAAAAGGGAGAAGAAAATGAAATAAGGTTTTTGTGTGGAGTGTTTGTGTCACAGTTATAGCAGAGCAATGGCTCTGCTCCCAGGAACAGGGACACAGGAACTGAGCTGAGGGCAGGGAGCAGATAATCTCACACTGAGGTTTGCTCCATCAGTCCCCACTAATGAACAGTTCTTTCTGCTCCCCTTTTTTGCAATTAGCAAAGGGACCTGATAAAAAAGGGGGAAATGATTTGCAAAGTGAACTGATAAGAGATCAGCATTGGCTGTCTGAGGTGTGCTCAGAAGTGCCACAGTGGAACTGGAGGAAAGCCAGGCTGCAGTTGGAGCTCAGGTGAAATCAGGATGCAGAACAAACCCTCCAGTCCTTGACCAGGCAGAGCAAACCCAGAGCAGTCAGGGTTTGCCAGAGCAGCCCTGGAGCTGTCTGTGCACCCTGAGGGCAGCTCTTGGTGTCTCTGGGAAGGCTTGGAGCTGTTCAGTTGCTCAGGTGAGAGATTTGTTTGGAAGATCCAAGTTTGGACAGCTGACTCCAAGCTGCTCAAGAACAAACTGCATGTTCTTATTACGCAGCTCCAGCTCTGCTTCTTCAAACATTTCAGCTCCAGCTGAGGCTGCATCACTCACTTGGGCAGGGAATTCCTGCTGCTCCAGCCCCTGGGGCTGCTTCAGAAACTGTAAATTCCCAGTGCCAGAGCCTGGTGTTCCCTGGGAACAGGCTGCTGACTGTGTTACCAAGGGAGGGGAATGGACCTGCAGGGATATTTGGCCACAAAACAGTGACAGGAAACTCTTGGAGAATCCTGGAACAGCTCAATGAAACTGCAACTCCTTCCCTTGCAAGTTCCAGGATAATAATATTGCCCATGAGTAGCACATCCAGACCCCCCCCAGGATTTCTGAGGCACTTTCAGGTGCAATGGGGTTAATGAAAGGTGAAGGGAGGTCTGAAGGGGCACAGGATGGTTTAGTGGCCTCAGACTCCTCTTCCTGAAGGATCTGTCCCCACACAGCCTCTGCTCAGCAGGAAGTTTGGATTTTATTTTACATTTAATTTTTATTTTATTTTTCTTCCTTCCCCACCTTGCTCCCTGAGCTGTCAGCCCCTCTCACCAGGCAAGGCAGGCCTTGTTGGATGCACATGAATTTATTGTACCACTTTGAGCACAAGGTCTAACACTGAAGCACAGGAGTGTCATTACAGTCTGTACAGCACCCTCTGAACACAGACAACACAGACATGCAGCCCTGCAGGCTCTGCAGCACAGCAGGGCTGCTGCACTGGGGAATAAAGACAGCTTGGAACAATGAGAATCTCAACAGTGGCTCATTCTCTGACCTCCCCTGGGGCCTGGCTGGGTCTAAACAAGCATCCCATGAACAGAACTGTAAAATTAACATGCTGAATCAATTACAGACAGTTTTTAAAGAAGTTGCTTTATGCAACAAATGCTTTATCTAAAACAAAATAAAAAACAAAACAAAAAGAACCACGAAGGCCACATTTTTCTTCTCAAATTCTCCTGTCCTACCCCCTTCTATCTCTAAGTCAAGGAGCAGCCTTTCCCTCCCATGTTTTATGAGGAGCTCGGGAGGTCCCAGCTCCACTCAGGCCAGACTTGGTGCTGTGGCATCACCCACACCATGAACACATTTTGGCTCCTCAGGCCCAGCTCTGCTCCATTAAACTGCTCTCAAAGCCTTGCAAAGATTCAACTCCTGCCTTGCTGCAAGATGAACAAAAAGAATGTTAAGAATGGCCCTGCTGAGGAAAGTGGAGTTTGGCCTTTTTTGCCCTCATTTCTGTCTCTGCTGCACTGTTGGCAGCAGATTTGGGAGCAAATGGGTTCAGTGAGCCACTGCACACACAAAGGACATCTGGAATGAGCTCAGCACACAGGTGGGGCTCGTTTGCACAAAGAGCTCCTTCCTAAAAAGCTGCTTCACCAGCCTGGGCCCCTCCCCAGCCCCAGGTGCCCGCTCTGGAGTGAACAAAGGGGGGCCCCTCCTCAGCTTCACCCCCTCAGGGAGTCAGACACAGGCTCAGGGCAGGGTCAGCCTGAGGCAGCTTTGGGAAGGAGGAGCCTTCCAGCCTTGTCCAAAAATGTGCTGAACATAGGAGAGCAGACACAAGGAGAAAATAAAATTCTGCAGGACCATGAAGGTGTGGGTTTGTGAGTGAAAGGAGAAGGGAAGAGCTTCTTTCCAAATGTCTTAGTTGACTGCAACTGAATTTGCAAGAATTCAATAAAGAGCAAAATAGGAAGTTGTGACAGCACCACCAGCACAAAACCACAGGAGAACCTGTGGCTTTACTCAGACTCAAACCAGGTTTCTCTGCTTGCAACACTGCCTGCTGGAAACATAAATAATGTCTCATTATCTTTACATGTTTGAATTAAAAAGAGAAGTGCCAAAAGCAAAACCTGCAAAGGAGCAGAGCTCAGTGCACTGGGCCAAGCTGGGAGCGCTGGTTTGGTGTAAGCAGAGGGAAGGGAGAGGGCTCAGCTCAGGACAAGCCTGTGACCGTGGCTGCAGCCAGAGGGGAGGTGCAGCTCTGTGCCAGCCTCTCCCAGCACCACCCCGTGCTCAGAGCCACACGAGAGGAGGAGGAGGAGGAGGAGGAGGAGGAGGAGGAGGAGGAGGAGGAAGCCTGCCTGCCCCGGGAGTGCTGGGGGAGCTGCACACACCTCGAGTCCCAGCCCAGGGAGGATTTGGACCCCGCAGGACTCCCAGCCTCCATCCCCCACAGCGGTACGTGTGCCGGCCCTGCCCTGCCCCCTCTGCACACATCACACTGCTCGTGTCTCTGCCTCAATCTTCTGCTCCCCGTGGAGGTTCTCCAGCTCCTGCACCTGGGCCACGTTCTGTCTGATGGCGATCTCGGGCCCGCCCCCGTACAGGGTGCTTAAATAAACCCAGGTCTCCTCGGAGATCTGCCCGTAGTCAGCACCTGCAAGGGAAGCAGCAATCACCGGGTGCACAGCAGGGAAAGGTCAGGGCCCCACCGCGCCAGGATTTCCCCATAAACAGCTCCCCCCAAAGGCCCAGCCCAGGAGGAGGAGGAGACACCGGGGGTCCCTGCACACAGCCCCTGCAGTGCCCCCTCCTGCTGCAAGCACCAGGGTGTTCTCCATCAATCCATGGCCACAAGCACCACATCTACACATCCTTTACATCCCTCTTCCAAACCCTGCCAGCCCTTCCCATATAGAATTTTTTCCTAATATCCAATCTAAACCTTGCCAGGCACAACCTGAGGCTGTTTTAACTTTGGGAGCTGGACCACAGCAGATGCTGAGAGAAGACCACATCAAAAGCAACACAAGATCAAAGCTCCAGCACAAAGGGGAGTGGTGGAAGGGGCCTGGGAAGCAGCAAGGCAGGAGCTGGGGGTCTGCAGAACCAGTCAGCAGCAATCTGGGCATGCAGGAGCTGCCTGGCTCACTCAGGACAGGGGCAGGGTAGAGCTGTCATCCTCTGCAACACCATCTTGCTCTGTGATTTCATTAAGCACAGCCAGACCCAGTGGAACAGTCTCCTTTACCTTTTAGGAGCACCCCAGGCAGCAAGCACCAGCCTTACCCTGCTTGACTTGCACGTGGCCACCTGGTTTTGTGAGGGCAATCTTGGTGTTGTCAATTGGTCCAGGGGGCTCTGTAGGAGAACAAGCATGTCAAAAACCATCTTATTTCCTTGCTGCCTCCAGATTCAGATGCTTTCCTAACTTCTCTAGGTCATTTTTGTCCTGCCCTGGAGACCTGCAGGCAGCCCCAGTGGCTGGTGCCTGAACCTTGCCCAGCCAGGGGCAGTGCTCAGCCAAGACCCAGCAAATGGAGTCATTTCCATTCCCCCTGTGCCCCTGACAGACCCCCAGTGTCTGATCCTTACCATTGTCCTTGCCCTTGACAAAGGCCTCCCACTCCCGGAACCACTGCATGCTGATACAGTAGATGACACTTGGAGACTCCTCTGCCTGGAAAGCCTTGTTCAGCTGGGACAGCAGCAACAGAGAAACAGAAAGGGCTTAGCCACTCCTGAGATCTTGGGGGGGCCCTTCCATTATCTGTAAGGCCAGTTCTCCAGAAGAACCCCATGGAATTCCCTCCTCACCCCCTGTTCTGCTCACAGAGCAGGCACAAGACAAGGATGGTCTCACACTGTCTGCACAGCATTGCCTCTGCACTGGGGAAGCCCCAGGCCAGGCTCCTGGCTGTGCTGCAGATCACATTCTGGAGAACAGGCATTTTCCAGGCCTGCACTCCCCAGCCCTGCCCTCTGCCTTGCTCCAGGTGCTCCCCAAGCCAACCTTGATGAAGGTGTCGATTTCGATCCTCCTGCGCTTGGCCAGGGCTTCGATCTCCACTTGGCAAATGGAGCACACGTACAGATGGTTCACAGCAGGGCCACCCCCAAACCTGGGCACAGGAGAGGCAGGGCAATGGAGAACTGCAGCAGAGAGGAAACTCTTCCCAGCCCTGCATCCTACTGACAGGGATTTTTATACCATTTTTGGTGAGGAAGGTGCATCTGCAGCTCAGGGCACAGAGCTGCCTTTACTCAGCCATATTTTCCTCTTCTGGCTTATCTTTTGTTATCTTTTTGGGACAGGCACTGATACAGCTCATCCTGGCTTAGATCAGGACACTCTACAAATACTGGGAGAAAGAATGGAATGGCCATATTCACCTGTTGTAGAGATATTCCCACACGTTTTGGGGCAGAATCACAACCAGGTCATCAATGTAATGGTATTTATTAGGAGGGATCCCTGTGGAGGAAAGGCAAGTGGAAGAATTAATCAGGGATCTCATTACTGCTGTGTACAACAGACACAGATAAGAAGGCAGATTTTCCATTCTGAGAACTCTGATTCCAGAATCTGCATTCTTTGCTAATGGAAGACAGTCAGAAGTTCATTAACTGTGGAGGTTTCTCAATCCACGGCCCTAATTTCTAATCAAATGCTTCATTTCCAATTTAGAAGAGAGATTTACAAACACTGAGTGCTCCCCAGCATGGCTGATGAAACAGCAGCAGCAGATGTGCTATCAGCTCCCCTCTCCAAACAAACCCCGAAGGTCAGCCCTGCTGACAGGGTAACACATTTAAACCCTGCCCTATCTGCTTTCTACAGGTTTGTTTTTAAACACAGAGAACTGAAAACTGTTGTTTCCCAGCACTAAACATCCCCCCAGGCCTCCAACCAGCAGCACAAATGGGTAATTGTCTCATCCCTCCCTGAGCAGGCTGGAGTTTCTGCCAAAGAGGATCCCACTGCAGCTTTCCCAGATCAGGATGGCAGCTGGAGCTTTTCCCTGCACTTGGAAGCATCAGAGGTGCTGCTCCCAGGCCCAGCAGCCTTACCTCCATGGGAGCACAGAAAGGTGTGGTTGGTGATGGGCCCAGGCTCAGCAAAGGTGTTGAATTTATTGAGCCACTCTCGAGAGATGTAGAACTGGAGCAAACTGTGCTCCTTCATGCTGGCCAGGGACACGACCTTCTGACGCTCTCTCACAGCCTCCTCACTGCTTTTCCTGGAGCAGGGAGAGGAGAACTCCGTGTGGGAAATGCATTTGCAGGTGCTCTGTGCCCAGGAAGGGGCTGAGGGCTCAGCTCACCTGTAGAACAGCACGTAGGCTTCTGCATTCTGCACCACGGTCTCGTGCACCTCGGTGACGTACTGGTCATCGAACTCGTACCACTGGCCATTGATCACGTTCTGGCAGTAGGCAATGTAGTGCCCACCTGCAACAGAGCACAGCACTGCTGGGATCTGCTCTGCAGACAGAAGGTGGGCCTGGGATAATGGCAGCAGCACAAACAGGATTAGCTGCTGGCACAGAGCAGAGAGAGAGAGTAAAAGAAAAGGGTAATTCCTGTTCAGGCAAGCTTTGCTGGAACAGCAGAGCCTGGCACTGTCACCCTGATTTGCCTTCCTTGGAAGAGCCTCTCAGCAAGACTGAACAGTGGGAAAGGGTTTGAGCCAAGCCTGTGGGGAGGCTGAAAGAGCTGCAGGGGATCTGTCAGGAGCTGCTCAGTTCACTTTCCAAAGGGCAGAGGCTGAGAATGGAGGGGGTCTCAGGCTACTCCTGACCACCCTCCTGCCTCACTCCCACCCTGCTCCTCTCCCAGACAGGGACTTACTGCCAGCCGTGCCGTGGTGACAGATGACAGACAGGAGGTCGTAGGTGGTGATTTGGGACACACACTCCTTGGCCAGGAAGGGTCTCAGGTCCAGCCCCTCCAGGGGGAAGGAGACGTGGCTGTTGATCTTGAAGGAATACATCACCTCGTGCCGGAACCGCTTCAGGTGGATGCAAAGGATCTGAAGGACCAAGGACAAAGGACATCAAAGAGAAGTTTTGCCATGGCAGCTCTGGGAGCACAGCACATCTCTGTGTGTCTGATCCTTGCAGGAGTTCTTTGCCTGTTTCTCATGAATCCTGCTGGCTCATCAGCTTAGACTGAGAAAGCCTCTTCTGATCTAAATACAGATTTGATATTTTTGCCACCAAAAACCCTGCTGGTTTTATTCTACCTCTGGCCTCCTGACCTCCTCAGTGGCTGCTAGAAGAGAATTAGGAAACAAGGTGCCTTTACCCACCTCTGGGAGGCGCAGGACTTTGCAGTACTTCACTCCATTCCGCAGCCTGAGGGAGGAAAAGAAACGAGCTGTGAGGACTCTCTAGAGCAAAGGCATAGCTGGGTCTTGCTCCCTTTGGAATCCAAGACAAATCCTGAATTCCAGCAGAATTGTCCAGGCAGAGGACACGGCAAAATATCTGACAGCAGTACAGAGAAAGGAAATTCCAGAAATAAAACTCCAGACATGGAGCACAAAACAGATAATGCCAACTTACTTCTTGCACCGTTCACAGCTGTACATGTTGTCCCCTGTAGAGAGAGGAGAGCCATTATGCAGCTGCTCATAGCATACAAGGCTGACAGAGCTACCTTACCACAGTGCAGAGAAAGCAGATTAAGAGCCTTTTGGGCAGGCCAGGGATGAGAAAAGATCAAAACAACTTCCCTCAATAAGTGTAGGCAAGAAAGGGATGCAGCCAATTAGCAGGAAGGATGAGAAAGTGAAGAAACTGAGGAGCCACAACACTCAACCAACCCACAGCTCTGCCTGCTCCTCACTGAGGACACTCTCACCCAGATTTCCCACCCCTGAGCAGGTAGAAAAGTTCCCTCCTGCTCAGAGATGCTAAGCTGCAAACTTTTGGCACTGCCAGTCTCTAATGACACACCAAGCAGGATTTCTAGGAGATTTTATCTGCCTTTAAAATGATTATGGAATGCTCCTTCATGCTGTCAGACCCCACAGAAAAAACTCACCCTTCAACTCATCTGCTGCAAAAAAGGCAGCAAGGCAATCCTCCAGTGTCACCACGGGACCCCAAAACCAGCTAGGGATACAGGACACCACAAATCTGCAGAGGAAAGGGGATTAAGAGTTATAATAAAACAGCTGAATGCTTTGGCACACAAAACCCCACGTGGATGATAAATTTCCTTCTAGCTGTAGGTCCTAAGCTCATCCCACATCCCAGAGGAGCAGGGAAAGCACAGCTGCTCTCAGCTGATGTTCCTACTCAAACTGGAAATGATTTGCAAAACTACAGCAGGAACTAATTTGCTCTGGAGGGCAGTTCTGAGGCAGCAGTGAGGGGTGATCAGCTGCACAAGAACTCTCAAGGTGTGTGACGGATCGAGAGGAGCAGTGACAACTGCTCCCCATGAAAAGGCTCAAAGCCCTGTGAGGTGCCACACACTCCAAGGAAAGGCTCCAGGTGACATCCCAGTGTTAACAGCACTGGTTAGGGACAGCTGCCTTCCAGCTCTGCAGGGCAAAGCCCAGAGAACAGAGGTGCTGCAGAGGGAACACACCTGCGGATGTACTCCATGATGAAAGCAATCCAGCCCTGTGAGGCATAGCTGTCCCCACATGCTCCTGTCTTGGCTGGCACATTTTGGTAGATGGCAGAGTGCAGCTTGGCCAAGTCCTCCTTCCCTGGGATTGGGAGTGACAGGTCCTGGAACGTCTCCACTGTTGTAGAAACCTGGAAATACCCAAGAGGAACAGGTCAGGGTTTCCCATGTGTGTAATGGAGCTGGCACCTGACCTTCATCACCTTTTATCACTGCTTGGATTTAGTCTACGCTAGAAACCTGAGCTGGCAGCAGGAGCAACTCAGTGTGGCTAATTATTCTTCCCTGCTGTCAGCACTGACTTCTGTCATGGGCTTTGTAGCACTGGACTCAGTTTCCTGATGTGAATGTGGTACTGCTGGGTCAACTCAATAACACAGATCAGCAAACACAGAAACACATCCTGGCATGGCAGATTCTCACCCCTCCCCTGCTATCACCTATGGCCACATCAGCTGCATCCCACAGGGTTTCAAAGAGCAGCACCATTCCCTAGGAAGTGATCTACAAGCCCAAAGCCTGTGCTGGTGACTGGGAGGCCCAGGACACTCACTCTGTCACAGGTGAGGCACTGCACCAGGCTGAGGATGGAGCCGTCGAAGATGTCGGAAATCACACTGCGGTACCGGAGCTCCTTCTTCTTTTTGCCAGAGGCCTGCATCTGGGCTGGAGAACAGGGAATGGCCCTCTCAGTCTCCACAGAGTCACACAACCGCATAAGAACACAGGACAAGCATTGTCCTCATGTTCAGATCCCATCCCAGGGACATGGTGAGGCAAGGTGTGAAGAGACAAGGAGGACTCTGCTGCTGTGTGTGGTACAAGGGAGAGGAAGCCAAGTGAACCAACACCAGTTGGCTCTCAGGAGGCAGAAATTGTACTGGAGCTCCTGTTTCCAGCTTTTTACACATTTAGAAGCCCAGCCCTGCCACAGACAGCCCCTGGTTTTCTGAGGTCTTGTGACACTTTGCTCCAAGCTTTGCATTTCACTTCCTCTCCCCCTCTGCCTCTGCACTTTGTCCCTTTTTTTCCCCTCTGACATTTACCACATGTTCCCCAAGTGTCTCACACTGGAGAGGACTCTCCACAGCAGGGACTGGCCAAATGCAAGGTTTTGTTTAACAACAAACCCCATCCCCCCACACACGTGCAGGCAGACAGAGTGGTTTTCATGCAGCCAGAACATCCGCAGCTGTGCTGACCTCAGCCAAGGGGCTGAAGAAAGAATGTCCTCATGCAGCAGCTGGAGGGACAGTGGTACAAGCACAAGCCATTGTGTTTGCAGACTGTGCAGCACTGAGGGATTTTGATTTGCAATTTGCTCTGGGATGAAGGGACCGGTTTGATAACAACACAAGCCAGGCTCTATTCTGCAGCCTGACAGGCTCCCAGCACTGCAGGGACATCTGCAGCCCTAATTCCATTCCTGTGAGCCCAAGATGTCCAAGAGGCAGGAAGCTCTGTCAGTAACAGCATCTTACAGCTCTCTGGCCCACATGCCATGAAATTCAAGTCTGGCAAACAAATGTTTATGCATTTCCACACTCCCCTAAAGGGACAGAGCCTGTGCCTGGGACTTGAGAGCCATTTTATTAATGACAAACACAGTACACAGATGCAGACATGGATCATTTCAGGCTCCACACTAGAACATCACTGTGCCCAGAGCTTGACTTTATCTGCAGGTTTACTGTAGTCTTAGCCAAATACTATTTTAGAACACCGTGATGTCCAGGGGAACCAGCACTTCTTACATCTGTTAATCAAGAATCATGATGGATTCCTTCTCTCCCCTCCTCTACATGCTCCCCCCTTTGCTTCCCAGCAATCCCTCTTTGCCCTACCTTTCTTGAGTATGTAGGAAGGTCCAAGCCTGGCAGGACTGGAGCGGGGAGGAGAGCTGGACAGCTTGGAGTGCATCTCATGATGGACTGGGCTGCAGGGGCGCGAGGAGCAGCGCACATAGGCATCATTGTCAGGCTCTGTTTGGGAAAAGGGCACTGCTGAAAACCCCAGCTATGAAAGGCAACTCCACCGCAATCTGTGTCAGCCTAGCTCTGTGTTGCAGCACAGAATCTTTCTCAAAGGCACAGTGCAATGTCCATTAACTGCTGCTTGCACAGGCTGGCAGACACAGCTCCCTCAGCCACAGGAGAGAGTGCATACGGAGCTGTACCTAACAGCTAATAATTACATACTAAAAATCCCCAGAAAACAACCTGCCATTTTTTCACACTTATGACTAATTAGATTTTGCAGCTTGCTCCTGTAGCCCTAAACCACACAGACAGCATTGCTGCCTTCAGTGCCAGCTGGCAGAGTAAGACTCTTACATAAAGAAGCGTTGAAAGATCGGATATGTTCAGCTTGAGGTGACTCCACATTGCTGCTCTTTTCTTTTCCCTGAGACACAGAAATGCTCACACTGCCTCTCCCTTTTCTCTCCCTAAAGTCCACAGTCCAACATTAGCAAATACCTTCTGCCATGCCTTTTCCACAGTTAGTATTTCCCTAGGCCAGTGTATCAAATAAAGAGATGCACACATACCAAACCTCTTTTCTTAAAAGGCATCAATACAGTGCAGGCTTGGCAGAGGCAGCTCTCACTGCTGTGCCTTTACTCACAGCCTAGCTAAGCACCTCTCTGGCTCACTAAGTACACTTCCTTACAGAAGCAATGGTGCACAAAGGCAGGGACTGGGGAAAACCTTGGATGCAAAATCTTTTGAAACACAGAGAAGGAACAATCCCACTATGTGTTTGCCACTGCACTACACCACAGCGCCTGTGGAGGATGGTAACACATCTTCCTGAAAATATCCCAACAGAAAGAGGGGTATACCTGGTGTCCTACATGGGCTGGCAGGGCAGGGAGCTGGCAGCATCTCAGGTGAGGCTCTGCCATCCACTGGCATCATTGTGGTATCAACATCTGCATCCTCATCCACCTGCTCCGAGTTGCTGCGCCGATGGCCGCACGAGAACTTCCTGTCCTTCATCCTCTCTTTCTCCGAGATCCCTCTCCCCGCTTCATCCTGGATCAGCAGCTCTGTCTCTGCCAGGGAGCTGCTGCCCATGCTCCCTGAGGTCCGACTCTGGCCCTCTCCCTCACCCCTGTCACTGCTGGAGTCACAGGAGAGGAACTCGTCCTCTGAAGGGCTTCGGTCGCCCTCGCGCTTCTCCTCCTGCTCGCTGCTGTCCAGGTCCCTCGTCTCTGCCACGATGGGTTCCTTCAGCTCCTCATGGAGCTGATCCATCAGGCAGCGCAGGAACTCCTGTGTGTCCTGAAAACCAGGATTCCATGTCAGTACCCAGCCAGAAACGGGGCAAAAGGGGAGAGATGGGTCCATGCACAGCTGATTCCAAGAGTGCCCACAAAGCTGAGCCTGCCCTGCAGCACACAGACCCAGCTGAGCAGGCCATGCACCAAAGGGCCTGACTGTTACAGAAATGCTTTAACTCCTACATAATTAAAGGCCCAATTTTTTATCTGAATACCTTCAGCTGAAAGACTTCGAAAAGATAGAGAGCAGCTGTAGAAGGCAAATCAGGAGCACATTTATCAGGGGTTTGCCGCAGGTAATAGGGGAAAAGCGAGGAGAAACCTGATGAAAACAGCAGGGCCTGGAGGACAGCCTCTTTCCCACAAACACATCTTAGGAACACTGACTTCTGCTTATGGCAAGCCACCTCTTAGAGAGGGCAGATTAAAATCTTTAATAAACAGGGAGAGGAACCAGAAACTCAAAGCTGTACAGTCTAGCTGCAAGCTCCTACATTCATAATACATGGTAAAAGAGCTGATACTTTGGCTTCAAAGGAGCTGCTGGAAAGCAAGCTGGTATTTTGACAACTGCAGAAAGTTAATTACGACCTTTCAGTTGTTTTATGAAGTTTGGCTTTTAGCCTGTCCTGCCTACCTTTCAAATTTATCTCTTCAGATCACAGTTTTCCAATCCAACGTATTTCACATCAAAGACAAATAGAGAAGTTCTTTCATTAATCATTATTTTTATTCTTTGTTTTGATTTCTTGTCACTATCACAGTTTTGATGCACTGTCACTTCTCTAGTAAATTTTCTAATCATAGTGTGTTGTTTACATTTTGTCATAAAGAACAAACAGAAGAGCTACACTGATAAAGACTTCAAAAGAAAAAAAAGGATACTACCTTTAAATAAGACTTAGTTTTGCTGTAATTCCCCAGAAAAAGAATATAGAACATTCATTTCTTTGAATTTTTAGTGCAGATTTATCCAGGCTCCTCAGCTCTGACATGAATAAATAATACCAAACTCCCATAGAGCAGATATCAGTAGATCTCAAACCTATTTATAAAGGATTTGACCACCATCATTTCAGAGGTGAGCAAGCTGACACGAGGAAATGAACTGATTTGGTACCAACAAGCCAGAGGAAAGCCTGGAAAAGGATCCAGGTCTCCTAAATGCTCTGTAAGATCACTGATATTGATAAAGAAAGGCCCTGACTCCCAAGCTCTTCCTTCTAAACACAAGCACCACCACTGTAGAATGAAATTCTCTGTTTTTGGAATAATGACATGGGTATTTCAGCCCTCACCTGCTGTGCATAGCCTCGGAACATGGGGTTGACAAGCTTGATTCCATGGGAGAGACTGCTTGGAACAACATAACTCGGGCTGTTCAGACATGGAAAAAGAAAAAAGGAAAAGTCAGTTTGCATATTGGGCCTGGAGCCAGTTTGACTAACAGGCCATAACAGAGGGTGTGGTGTGTAGTTAAAGAGGCCAAAAGATAATTATGCACCTGCAAAGCCTGAGCAGAGATTTCTGCATGAGCTGGGTGACAAACACACCAAGAGACAGAAACACCTTGCAGTCATTTCAGTCTGTCTTTCCAGAGAGACCCCTCCCCAAAACACATTTCACTTCCAGCTCTGTCACTCTTTGAGTGTGGGAAGTGATTCTTTCCAGAGCAGAGTTTAGCAATTAGTGACTTTGTTTGATTTTCCAGCACCATGTTTGTCTCAAAATCTGGGCAGGCTGATCACCCAGTAAATGAGATAAATTCAATCAATGTTAGAATGACATGATATTGCTTCAAAGTCTGCAGCCTCCTCCTTCACAAAGACACAGTTCACCTTGCTCCATATCTTACTTATTCCTTGTTAATAATGAACTTGAGGCAAACATGCAATGCCATTTAAATTCCTGTTTTGCTGGGGTTTATTTATTGCACAGAGCAGACATCTTCAGATTTAAACAGAGCTACATCATTTTGCACTGTCCTTTGAACTGGTCCAGAATTTGAATCAATAGTAAACCAAAATGTCACCTGCATTTTCCACTCTGTTCAGTAAAAATCTCTGAATCACTTTTTCCATCCAAATCATCAATTTCTCTGCTAATCAAGAGCAGGGCAATTAAGTGCTGGCCACTGAAGTCCATAGCCTCAAGTATTCCCTTACTCCATCATTTTTTCTTCATTGCCAACAGTGACACTATATTTTAAAATACTTTTCCTTCTAAAAATTGTAATATTAAGAATGAATTATTTTCACTGATATCAATTCATCACCAGCAGCAGGAGATGGGATCTCCTGGATCCCAGGGAATTCTCACATCCCCATCTACACAGAGGGTTAAATCACTGCCTCAGACAATGCCCTTGTCCCTGAGGACCAGATTTCCTCTCTGCCATGCCAGATCTCAGAACTAACACACCTCTGAAAGCTGGCCAGGGTAGATCAGGGGTCACCACTCACCGTTTCTTGTGCCAAACCTCAGACACCAACTTCTGGTAACTTTTGCACAGGGCGGGTTTCTTATCCGTACGGACCAGTCCACCACATTCCAGGAAAAACTGTGTCAGAGGTGGGCTACAAGAGAAGGAAAAGGAGAAGAATTCAGCCCACAGAAATTTTTCCTCTGCTTCTATTTATTTATCAAAACTTCATGCAGGCCTTATCAAAAACATGCTTAAGGTACTGATTTTAAACCAAGGGAGGAAGTGATTCCAGATGCAGATGTGATCCTCACTTGGATCAAATGAAAAAGGCTGATCTGAACCTGCTCTCAGTACAGAAAAGGTCCTGGAATTGAGTTTCAGCAAGATGGCTAGAGAATATTTTAGGATATAGGTTATAAGAATTATATCAGTGGGGAGAATAAAGAGATGTGTCATGGCTTTCTATGGGATAAATAATTTCTGTTGCAACAGAAATGATGAAATTTTACTTCCAGCATTCCTCTAAACATGAGTCTTGTACATAGCCACAAGCTGGCTGGTCCCTCAATTTCCTACTGTAACACTTTTTTTGCCCTAAAAAAATCACTATTTTTTTCTGTCTCCAGCCTGGCTAATCTCTCTTTGCAAGACTCATGAAGGTTTCAGATCAGAGGTGACGCTTTTGGTATTTAGTGAAGTCAGTTATGACAACACTGAAAGCCCTAATGCCTACCAGTTTGAGAGAGCCTGAAGTGCTGCATTCATGTAGCAGGAGTTCCCAAGATTTTTCATTCCAGTAAGGCCTAAAGCACAAACAAGAGAGGGATGAATCACTTTCAAGATGTGCTGCTTTCTATATTCCTCCCCAAGGAGAGGGAATCCAGCCCTTTCTAGGCAGTCTCCACATTTTGCTGCCAGGAACCCTCTCAGTGCAGATCTTACAGACTGCAGAGCTGCCCTGCCAGCTCTTTCATCAACTCAATGCAAAGTTACCTCTTGGTTTCAAATCATCATCCTCTGATTCAGATTCGCCTTCATCAGCCACTGCAATGGGAACAGCTTTCAGAGGGTGAGCAGGCAAAGGAGAATCCTAGATTAAAGACAGAGAAATAACTATCAGTCACAGGCCTGCTTTGAAAGATGAGCTGTGAGAGATATTATCTCACATATAAATCAAGTCAGCCTCCAAGAAAAGCAGAAGGAGAAGGAAGAACAGGCTGCACTGTCTAGCCTTCTCTCTGAGGCAGCAAGGAGTGGAAATAGTGCCATTACTGCTCCCAGTACACGTGATAAGAAACATCAGGAATGAGCAGCAGTGTCACAAGTACATTGTGTTTCTGGTCTGACAGCTGAAATTTCTATGGGCCATGCATTGGAAATGAAAATGTGACAGACAGGTTCTTCTCACATGCAGATACCCCATTGGAAATGTTAAAAATAAAGTCAGAATGGATATTCAAGTAATAGAATTATAGCTCATAAATTATTTGGGTTGGAAGGGACCACAAAGCTCATCCAGTTCCCACTCCTAAATCATTTGTCTTTTTGCTGGGACACCCTGTAAGTCAGGGCTAGTGTCCCCTGGCTACAGGCAGCCACTGTCAGTGAAGGTATCCCCACCACAGCAAACACTGCACCATGGCAGGAACCACTTGGATAATTTCACACCAGGCAAACAAAACCTGGCCAGGCTCCCAGCCCTGCCCTTGTGCCACACCCCCACCTGCTCAGGGAACTTGCTGGGGGGTGAGGGGGGCTGGGCCAGGCGCTGCTCCAGGAACACTTCCCTCTCACAGGCATAGCACCACACACGGAACGTGGTCAGGTTCACTGTCAGGTTGTGCTTCTTGGCCTGCAAATCAAAATGAAACAACAGATCTCCTCTGGTAGCTGGCCTGGGCTGGAGTACAGGACTACCAGGGCATGGAACAGGGAAAATTTAATTCTATTTAAATGTTGGGAACGGAGAAAAGCTCACCTGTGCATGAAGTGTGCTGTGGTCAGCAAAGGACTCCCCACAACCAACATAAGGACAGCCAATCTAGAGAGGGGAAAGAGCCAAAGCACAATGGGAACATCATGTTAGACTCTTTAGAAAACAGTCTGTAACTCCAGTCCCAACAGCAGCAATTTCAGAATTATCTTCCTGGTTTTCTAACCTGGTTTTTTTTTCAGGGCCCACAACAAGATGGAAATTTAGAAGTGATGGAAATTTAGAAGTGATTTAAGAAAGAAAACCTGGAACCAGGTTTGCACCCAAGCATCTCTGTTCCAAGGCCACTGCTCCAACAGGGATCTCATCTGAGCAGCTCCAAGCCTGGGCATTCCAGTGTAAAAATAAACAGTCCCTGCCTGCCCCAGTGTCCCATGGATTCCCTCCCTCCTCACTTCCAAGGGGTCACCTGCAGCCCCTCCACAGGTGCCAGCAGAGGCAACACCCAGCCAAGAACCAGCACTGGGGAATTCATTATCTCCTACTGGGAATAGCAAGGACAGTCCCCTACAGGGAGTGAACAGTTACATCTTGTCAATTGTGACAGTGTTACCCTTTCAGTGTTACTGGAGAATTTCCTCTTTGGAATCCATCAAAAATCAGTGTATAGTTCTACTGTGAGCCCCTTCTCTGCTCCCCACTGTTTTTTCAGTACAAATGCTATTTGAGTGAAGCCCCACTACATCATGCACACAAACAAACCACTGTTACCTGAAGACAAGCCCAGAGGTTTGGTCCCACAGCTCCACAAGACTGGCAAGTTCCCTGTGTATTGATGATAAAAGAAGGCTTGTTGTTTGGTTTTTAAGTAACCAAGTCCTTAAAGAATGAGAAACTTCTCTATAAAACAGCCAACCTTCAGCTCATAGGATTTCATCCCTTTCACCACACTTCCAATCAAATACACAAATGCACCATTTTAGCTAAGTGACACATTCAAGCAGGATAAAATGACTATGAGAAATTTGTGGGGTGATTTATGGGACATGTGGGTACATCAGTGGGGGAAGGAGAGTTTCTCTCTGGAGATAGGCAGGGTTTTCTTCAAAAAGCAAACATGCAAATCCATGCACAACAGCTAAAAGGGAAAGAACTGAGAGCCACAGCCCTGTACCTTGGATTTGAGCAGCAGATCATCCGTGGTCACCTCTCCTATGGAATCCAGGTGGGGACAGATGTCCCTTGTGTCCCCCATTTTCACCAACACTCATGTGAGGAGGGTTTCCTAGGACAAAAAGGATGGCTCCTTTCACTGCAGGTCAGATTGTAAGAAGACACCTGGGCATGTTTTGCATATCTATCTTTAAGGTTCAGAGATTGGAACAAATTTGGCCCCACTGCTGAGTGGCTGCACTGTGTTATTGTAGGGAAGGAGCAAAGCCACGGGGAGGAGAGAGAAACAAGTAAAGCTAATAATCCATATCATGGAATGTGCCTTCAGAAATGCTGGGAGGTGCTCAGCACACAGGCACAGCTTCAGCTGCAAAGATACAAATCTAATTAGCTCATTTGCATGAAACCCTGATGAAAAGTGAAAAGTGCTGCAGCCCATGACCAGCCCTCAGCCTGTGGTGTCTGAGAGCTTCATGCACCCAACTGTGCTGATCTGAATCTAACATTTCCTTGTTACACTTCTTCATCAGACATTAAAAATATGATTAGTTCTAAATGAAGCTGGGCAAGAGGGAAATAAACTTAAATGAACTGTAACACCGATAAGCAGGCTCCAGTCTCTGAGGAATTTACCATTTCATGGGCAGATTTTTAACAGTATGAGCCACAGAACTCAATGTCTGTACCAAACATAACAAAACACTGTTCCACCCAGCTCATGCATCCAAGCACCACAAGAACAGATGATTTCATAGCTTATGAACACAATAAACACTTTTATGGTGGTCCATGGATATGTAAAAGACTTCAAATATGTCTCAGTAACACGCAGCTATAAAAAAATGAAGAGAGTTTGTGCTTTTTAAGCATAGTTTAAATAACCTTGCTCATGGCTGTTAAAAAAGTAGAAAAGAAGATAAGTGATATTAATAGCACAGACAAGGATCCAAAATATTACAGTTGGCTGGAAATGAAGCAGATGTGAAGAGCTCACATCATTGCAACAAAGAAGTGGAAAAATCTGATGAACTCGATGTTAATGACTCCAGCAGCCACATGGCTGCTACACTCTGCTTTTTTCACATTTTGAGGACATTTGAAACAATTCCCAGTGTTATCTGGTCTGAATCACTGACAGGAGGGAGAAAAGAAAAGAAAGATTATAAATGAGTAGGCCATATCAGTAACACTTATCTTGGGAGTGGAAAGCTTGCCTAGCACCTTGTCTTGGCAGAAGATAAACCTCAAGGCTAATTTTACTCTGCTCTCCCAGCACTCTTTAGAACTCAGTAAACTGATGGGAGGAGCAAAGGGAGGAGAAATCATAAGTGTATGGCAGAAAACACAACAGGGGTGCTGACCTGGATCTCAGTAACTCCTGAAGAAAAGCTTAACAAACAACAGAGCAATTTCATGCAGTTTCACAGAGAAGGAACGTAGCACCGTGTAACAGATATTGATTTGAAATACAAAAGACAAGAGCACAGCAGCTTTGACTAACACATAAAACTGGGACATTTCAGGCTCTGAGTTCCTTCACCAGAACAGACCCCTTTCCCCAAATGCATCAGCTAGTCCAATTAAAAAAAACAAAAATCAATGCTACATTTGCTATTTCAGCATCCTTGATTTCTTATCTCTCTCCCAGATGTTCCCCAGAAAATTTAATGAACAAAATACTGGTTTAAAAGGAATTCCAGACTTCATATCTTCACCAGCTTAAACTAAATGGGAACTGGTTTTGAAGCACTTTGTTAAGCAGAGTCTTTTGGATTTGGATGGTTTCAGTGCATTCTGTGGGACCACTCCTCTCCTCAAAATCAAAACCAGGTCTTTAGACTGGGGTGCTGATCTTCCCACACAGTGCTTCCCTGTCTGAACAATGCAGGGAAAACCTCATTTTTGCCTCTCAGCCCTGACCACAAACACCAGAATAAGGTTTGTGACTGTTCAGAAGAAAATATTCAACTTCTGTCTTCTCACGACTCTGCCCTAAGAGCTATAGCTGGCACACACAGCTCTAATTCTGCTCAGGAAAACAGGAATTTCATAAAAGCACTGCCAGAGAGCTGAACCGTGCTTGTCAAAATGTTCTCTGTGTGATGGGAAAAGAAGTTACCCTACAACAAGTCCTTCAGCCTGCCTTTCTCAGGCACCACTGAGGGAGGACAGTACACGAACATGTCAGAACAGCTCCTCCGTAACTGCAACCTACTTTCAGTCTTCAGCTGCTGCCAAACCCAGCCTCTCTGCCTGCCTTCCACAGGAACACGTTTCTAGGTTTTTGCTGGTTGTTTTTTTTTCTTAAAACAACTGTGTGGTTTCGTACCAAAGCTAGAGCCAGCTGTCAAGAGTTTCACATCCGTGCAGGCTGACATTCTTCGGAGCAACTGCACAAATAAAAGAAATCTTTGCACTGTTCAGCTACAAAACAACTACCAGGTCTGGTCTTGCATAACCTACCAAGGAAAGAAGTATCTGCAGTTGAGCTCTGAGACATTTTATACTTGAGATACTGAAGAAAGAAATGTTTACCGAACTGCCCCAGTGACAAGGCAGAAGCAGAAAGCAGGTGCTGCTGGCTCGCAGCTGCATCAGGTATGGGAAAACCAGGAGGTTTCTGTGCACCACGCAAAGGAGAGCAGGTCTGAACACTGATTTGTTGTGGGAGGTCACAACATGACTCACCTAGAGATTTAGCTCTCAGACAAAAAACCACCTGCAGGAAATCCCCCCCCTGCCCGCTATGTCACTCCTCAAACACAGCGGACCCCCAGAATCCAAGTCCCCTCCTGACAGACGCTACAGCTGCCGGACACGAGCGAGGCTGACCAGAAACAGCCCAAAGCAGCACGGTCCCGCTCCCGGGGCCGGCAGCAGCCCCTGGGGTGCAGGCCCGCCCCCAGGCCGGGGCACGGCAGGATCGGGGCCGGAGCCCCCGCGGCCGCTGCTGCTGCATCATCCCCGGCGCGGCCCGGCCGCCCTCCCCCCGCACGGCCCCGCCGCCCCGGCCCTCGCTCACCTGCGGGATGCCCGGGGTGTCACCGCCCCCGCCCCAGGCCGGGCCGCCGGGAAGGGCCGCGGGCCCCGAGCGGAGCGGGGAAGCGGCGGAGGAGCGGCGGGTGCCGCGCAGGCCGGGGGAGGAGCGGGGGCCGGGCCCGGCGGGGCGGGGCGGGGAGGGACCGAGCGGGGGAGGCGGTGGCGGCACCGACCCCGCGGGGTCCCAGAGTCGGGCCCAAGCCCGAGGGGTCCCCGAGCAGTCGGGGCTCTGCCCCAGGGCCGGTGCTAGAGGGGCGAGCCCCGGCTCGTTCGGCCGGGGACCCAACAGAGCGGCTCGGTGCCTGGGCCAGCGGGGAGCAGCCCGGTGATGGAGCCGCGTCCCGCCCCGAGGGCTGGGCTGCAAACCCGGGTGTGGGACCCACGCTCCCCACGGCGCCTTGTCCCCACGGCCTCCCTGACAGGCACCGGCCACCGGCGGCGGCTGCGCTGCCGGGACTGCGAGAAACGGAACGAGCCTCGTGCCTTACACGAGGTGTTCCCAGAAATGACAGCGCGTGGCCCGGGGTGAGGGGGGTGGTACGAGGGCTCCCGGCCCGGTCCCGGCGGGCACGGAGCGCTCCGGGCCCCGCTGGCGGCTCCTGCCCGGCCGAGGTGCGGGCACAGGGGCGGTGCCGCCCGGCCTCGTCGCGGGGCTGTGGCGTCATCGCGGCGCAGCAGCGGCGGGGACGCGGCCGTGTGGCGGCTGTGGCGCGGCAGCCGCAGCGATGCCGGGCCAGAAATCCTTCCGGCGGCGCAGGGAGGACGAGGACGAGGAGGAGGAGGACGAGCAGCTCGCCGAGGAGGTCAGGTGGGTCGGGCGCTGACGGGGAACCGGGCCGGGCCCAGCGGGAACCGCGACCGCGCCCGGCTCTGCGGCGGTCGAGGGGCGGGACGGGACCCAGGTCTGCTGTAGCCCAGCAATGCGGTGTCCGGGTGTCACGACATCGTGTCGTGACATATCGTCACCTACGGCTGGGCTGTGGGCGGTGACGTCACGTCATAGGGCAGTGTTGAACCGCGGTGTTGTGGCGTGACGTCACAGCGTGTGTCACAGCCTTACGTGACCCCAGGAGTTACGGATTCCTCTCATTTAGGGAGAAACTCTTGAGATTTTAATTCACCACCAACTTTCTTCAGAGTCACTCATGTTTGGATGTATTTTGGCTCGTCCTTTCCAAGCTGGCTTCTTCTTCAAGCCTTTCAGTGTTTGGTGCTGCCTTCCTCAGCTAAGGGAAGGCACCAGAAAGGAACAAATCCACCAAGTGTCTTGTTTTTTAGGTTTTTTTCTGACTGCATGGGATTGCTTAAATAAATAGAAAATACCTATCTAACTTGAAACCCAAAAAGTGGATGCTGATGTGCAGAGGTTTAGGGCAAAGTTCAATAGAAAATTCTGTGTTAACTACAGAAAATAAAATTAATTAATTTAAACCAGAGCATCAAGTACTAAGTCAAATGTGTTTTTCCTTTAGGTTAAAACTTGAAGAAGCCAAAGAAGTTCAGAGCCTCAGAAAGCGGCCCAATGGGGTGAGGTAAGGGATGGCACCGGGGAGGGGACATTGTGTTTTGTGCAGGGGTGTGATGTGACAGCCAATTTCTCTCTTGTCATCTGCCTCCTTCCAGTACAAACCATTATGTCAGACACTGCCAAAATTATGTTCATCACAGAGGAGCTTCTCTGTTAAAGCCTAAGGATGGAAAAGACAGGGAGACTTAGAGAGAGATAAAGCAATGCAGTATTGTGTTTCCTTCTGCTGAATTTTATCTTCTTTCTTTATCTGCCTGACCAGTGCTGTGGCTCTGCTGGTGGGAGAGAAGCTGCAAGAAGAAGCCACACTTGTGGTAAGTGCTGGACAGCTCCATCCCCTCGGGGCTCAGATGTGATGATGTGAGAACACTGTGTGAGTGCAGCCTGGGGCAGGACTGGTGTCACAGCTCAAGTCCTAAATGTTTCCTGTGGTTTTATCCAGATTTTGAAGACTAGCATTAAACTAGAGGGAAGCTTCAGGGGTTTTTGTTATTTCTTGTTTTACAGGATGACCCATTTAAGATAAAATCTGGGGGAATGGTGGACATGAAGAAGCTGAAAGAAAGAGGCAAGGACAGGTAAGTGCATGTGAGCTCTCAAAATCTCTCCCAGGACTAGTATTTAATGACAACTGGTAATTAATTAACCAGAGGTTGTGTCACTTTAAAGTTTCATATAATGCAGTCTGACCAGTTACTTTTGCTCTAACTTGTTAAATTACTTTTAAAAAACCCACCACACACACCTCTCCCAAAAAAACCAAATAGCCAACAAAAAAATCCACCAAAACCTGTAAACACTGTGGTTTCCACTTAGGATTAATGAAGAGGAAGATCTGAACCTGGGAACTTCCTTCTCAGCAGAAACCAACAGGCGGGATGAAGATGCTGACATGTGAGTCGTGCTGTGTTGTGTCTCTGATGCTGAATCAGGCTGGGTGGCCCCTCACCATTTATTTTTTTATGCTGTGGATTCTGAGTAGTCCCAGGACATCTTCCCAGGGCAAGTTTCCTTTGCCCTTTCACTTCCTGCCTCCTGGAGTTGAGAAGGCTTTTCCATGGGCAGAGCTAGGAGATGCCAACCAGCCAGCTTGGCACTAAATCTCAGTGGGATCCTTCCCTGCTGGCTGTTAAGGACCTTAAGGAGGTCTGATTATTTAAGGAGGATCCGATCATTTCTTGAACAATTAATTCTTGCTGCTAATATTAGCTGAGAGCTTTTGGAGAGATGATTCTTTCCTCTCTCCCAGCTGTCAGGACAGGGATGCAGCAGTGCTGGAGCAGAGTACAGGAACAGAATTAAATGCCCTATCTCTTGTGTGCTGCTGTTTAGGATGAAGTACATTGAGACTGAGCTGAAGAAGAGAAAGGGGATTGTGGAGAACGAGGAGCAGAAGGTGAAGCTGAAGAATGCTGAGGACTCCCTGTACGAGCTGCCAGAGAACATCCGTGTCTCCTCTGCCAAGAAGACTGAGGAGATGTTGTCCAACCAGATGCTGAGTGGCATTCCTGAAGTGGACCTGGGGATTGAGTAAGTGTGTCACACATCTGTGGCTGCTGGCAGGGCTGCCAGGATCAGCAGCTGTTGCTATGCCTGGATTGCACATCCCCAGTTTGGGGTGGGTGGGATTGAGCCTTGTTCTGGATGGATCCTGCACAGCCCCAGGGCTTGGTGCAGCTCCATCCTGGGACTTCTGGGAAAAGGCTCTTCTGTGACCTGACCCCAGCAGCTTTCTGCAGGACCCTTTTGTGTCCTGCCCTGAAATGATGCACAAGATAGGAGCTTCCATTTTGCCTTTGAAACAAAGTGTCTGTTTCTGTGGCACTGCCTCCTCTCTCAAAAACTGCATCAGAGCCACAGCAGTGCTATTGCTGTCCTCAAATTCCATGCACACAGCACTTCTGGGCCTGCTACCCTTTCTAACTATGAGTTTGTTGGGTTTTTTCCTTCTAGTGCAAAAATAAAAAACATCATCTCAACTGAAGAGGCCAAGGCCAAGCTCCTGGCAGAGCAGCAGAACAAAAAGAAAGACAGCGAAACTTCCTTTGTTCCCACCAACATGGCTGTTAATTATGTCCAGCACAACAGATGTAAGTCCTGAGTGTCCCTCCTGACCCAGTTGAGACAGAGAAATTATGTATCCATGTATCAGTGTGTCAGGATTGCTTTTCCTGACATACTCAGACCCTATCTGGCCTGGTTTTTTCCTTCTGCCCATCAGCAAGGAGAGGGATGTATTTCTCATGGCTGGGCTTTCTGAACTCCCAGCTGACACTGCCTCATAAATGTCAAGATGTTTTCTTTAAGCTGTGCCATGTGTGCTGGAAATGATGGTGTGTGATGGAGAGACTGCAGTTTTGCAGGCTGCCAGAGCAGACAGGGTGGCCAAGCAAACACAGACCTTATTGGACAGGAGATGGGAATTAATTTCTGTGTGATGCTCTGATGCTGCAGACACCTAAAGGAAAGGCAGCCTTCTGCTGTGTCCTTCCATGCTTACAGGGGTGATGGGGATCAGGTTGGTGTGTTCTGATGGAAGTGAAGAGTGTTTGGGCCACTTGAAATAGTGCTGTTGAAATTTTCTCTGCCCCATCTTGCCAAGTTAACCATAGAAACCAATTCCAAGAAGGGTGGTTCTGAGTTTCTGTTCTTTCTGGTAAAAATAACTTATAACACAGGCCATAGAAATGTATCTATGTGGATAAGAGTGCTCCAGATAATATTCCTTTACCTGATGTTTTCTTTCCTGCAGTTTATCATGAGGAGCTGAATGCTCCAGTGCGAAGGAACAAGGAGGAGCCAAAGCCGCGTCCCCTGAGGGTGGGAGACACGGAGAGGCCGGAGCCTGAGCGTGAGTTCCACACCTGAATGGGTGTAGGGAGACACTGAAACTCTTCAGGGATCTTCAGAGAGCCTGTGCATAAGTTCCATACTTAGGGAGACACTGCAACTCTTCAGGGGTCTTGTACAGAGAACAATCTGGCTCTGCTTTCCTCCTCTTCTCTGAGTGCCCTGAGGTAGTGGGACTGGAGCAATCCCGGTCCAAGAGAGCTGGCTGTTGCACCTCTAGATCATTCCTGAATTCTGGATGATGTCTGTAGAGATGCTCAGGGGTGGAGTGGTGAAGGTCACAACTGAAATGTTGCCAAAGCTACCTAACAAAGGTTTGGTGGAATAGCAAAGGGTGTAAGGCAATAACCTCACATAATGAAGGACTGTCTAAGGGAGGTGGCAGAGTTCAGGAAATGTCTCCTGTGAAAGGACAGGGATATGAAATTGTCTTCTCTTTCTTTTGAAGGGTCTCCTCCAAATCGCAAACGTCCCCTCAATGAAAAAGCCACAGATGATTATCACTATGAGAAGTTCAAGAAGATGAACAGGCGATACTGATGAATGTGAAGCCTCTGGAGCTGTTCCTGTTTTCCACCAATAAAGGATTTTGTGTCAGAGACCTGCGATGGATGTTGGGAAGAGTCACTGCCTTCAGATGCTGATGAAGCTCTTCTGTGTGATCTTGTAGTGAATCAGTTTGCAGGTGATTGTGAACTTTTTGGTTGGTGTAACTTTGTATATAAATATGTTCTTATAAATGAAGTTTTTTAATGGAAAATGAGCTTTCGTGGTTGGCAATTTTTAGTGAGGAAACAAAGTGGCTTTTATAGATTTTTCTTTTCACCATCTTAATACTAAAACAAAGAGAACCTTTAAAAGCAGCAATGTCGTTTGCTTTGTAAATGTAAAGCTCTTGAGAGCTTGTCTTCTTGTCCACGTCTTCCCCAGAAGTGCAGTGTGGGTATTTGTAGTTAAGATTTGTAATTTGAAAATAGTAAAAGTGGTTTTTAAGTTATTGTAGCATTTTTTCTTCTGGAATTCATGCTGATGCATTTTTCCTGGTTGGTGGGTTTTGGTGGTGCTGATGGCCACATTGTCCCATCGCTCAAAAGTGACAACTCCAGGGTGGGAAGGGACAACCTCAGATTTCACTTTTTCTCAGAAAAGGGGAAGAATTTCCATGCCAGGCTAGGGATGAGTTTTCCCCTCTGCACATCAGCGGAAGATCCCTTGAACAGGTAGCTTTAAGCTGAGACAGGGAAGATTTGATTTGGATTCGATATTAGAAACAAAATTTTTCACTGTTTGGGTGGTCAGGCTTTGGATTAGGCTACGCAGGGAGGTGGTGGAGCACTGTCCCTGGGGCCATCAAGATGTGGCACTGAGTGGTGTGGGTTTTAGTGGTTTAGGGGTTACAGGTTGGACATGATGGTGTTAAAGGTCTCTTCTAACCATGATGATTCTTGGATCCCTCTATTCTAACACCTGGCCACAGAATGTAATATTTAATAACTGTACTGCCCTCTATGTAATATTTAATAACTGCACTGCCCTCTATTCTAACACCTGGCCACAGAATGTAATATTTAATAACTGCACTGCGCTCCCGGCCGCGGCGGGTGTCCCCCCCCCCCTCCCCCAACATGGCGGCGGCACCTCAGCCCCTCAGCGCTGGCCGCGCCCGTTCCCGCCCCAACATGGCGGCCGCCCCTCAGCGCCGGCCCCGCCTCTCCCCGCGTCCGCTATGGCGGCGGCGGAAGCGGCGCCGAGGGGCGGAAGCGGCTGCCGGGCGGCGGGGCCGGGCGGGCAATGAAGCTGCGGCGGGGCGCGCTGCGGGCGGCCCTGGCGCTGGTGCTGCTGCCGCTCCTCACGCCGGCCGGTGCCGTGGAGCCCATCAGCGTGGGACTCGCCATCGCGGGCGCCGCCGCCTCGGCCCTCACCGGCTTCATCTCCTACCCGCGGCTCTACTGCTACTTCAGGGAGTGCTGCCTGCAGCGGCACGAGCCGCGCGCCGCCGCCGGTGCGGGACCGGGATGGGCTGAGGGGAGGTGGCGGGAGGGCGCCGGGGCAGCGCCGGGAGCCGGGCACAGCCCGCGGGGCCTTCCCGTGAGCCGCCGCTCCAGCCCGGCCCTTTGGCCCCTGCCCGGGGCTGGCGGCCGCCACCGCGGGCCGGGTGAGCCCGCGCCCCGCCGCTCACACTGTGGTCTCTCCATGCAGCTCTGCAGCAGAATTTGGACAAGAAGCTCTTCGGGCAGCACTTGGTGAGCAAGGTGGTCGTAAAAGCCGTGAGGGGTTTCTTGAACAATACCAACGCCAAAAAGCCTCTGGCGCTTTCCTTGCACGGGTGGACTGGAACAGGCAAAAACTTTGTCAGTAAGATCGTCGCTGAAAGCATTTATAAAAAAGGTCTGCAGAGTAAATATGTCCATCAGTTCGTGGCGACTTTACACTTTCCTCACGCTCACAGCATCAATCTCTACAAGGTAAGAATGAGCTGTGCTGCAATGAGTTATAAATGTCACAGCATGATCAGTACATCAGACCTAGATGTTATTTTATATAGTAACATGTATGCTGTGCCAGTTTTGTGATCTTCTGTACAGAACTGTGTAACTAACATTCATTAGGATGCAATCTGCTGTACAGAACTGTACTAATATCCATCAGGATTGGATTTCCTGTGAATGTGAAGTTTTTTGCATATGTTTTGAGCCTCTCATTAGGGAAGAGTGATATGGTTTAATTTTCATTCTGCATTTTGCTTAGAGTTGGGGCTGACTTAAGGATAAACACGATTCCTAGTTAGGCTATGTGCTGGTGGGCACTGCAAAAAACCCAAATGTTCATGACTCTGGGAAACAACCCAGTGACCCCCAGGTTTGTCAGACACCATGGCAAGCTCACACTGGCTCTCTGAGGCATCATTGTCTATTCTGCTGCACACTGAGCAGGTTATTTAATTTTCTGTGGATCTCTTTCCAAGCTGTAAAACAAAATCACAAAATGCTCTGCTGTCAGAAAGGTACAGGTAAATGTACTTGGAATTGTCAGTTCTGTAGGCAGGGAGATACCATGGAGCAGTAGCTCAGATGTGTTTTATGGTTTTTTTTGTTGTGACTTTGTTCACTGCACAGTTTGAATGAGTACCACTGTCTTGTAGTACTGCATGTTGATACTCAGTTTGTATGTGCTAAAAATAGGAACAGGACAGTACACAAACCTAAATTCCAAATGGAGGAAATAGACATTTTTTCTTTTATAACTTATTTCCCCCTTCTTTTAACTGAGCTATTTTGAAATATAATGATGTTTTTCTGCATTTGTTGGGAGGTGAATACACTGGGGAAATTTGCTGCCTGCGGCAGTAGGAGGAAGTGTTACTGCTTATCCCCAATACACCTGCAGTTCAGGGACTGAGCAGAATAAATTAAAAAGTGATGAATCACTGAAAATAGTGAGAACAGTTATTTCTCATTCAGCTACCAGCACATCAACCCTTTTCCTCACAGTTAATGCATTATTGATCTTGAATGTAACACTCAAGGTGAAAATGCAATGCTTAAGTGAGAGACTCTTTCAATGCAATAAAGCATTGGCCTTTCTGGACAACAGTGTTGTAAGAAGGACTTGTAATTATCTTCATTTAACTTCTGATTGATTAAAACACAGTTTAATTTTTGTTTCTCCTTCTGCCAGTGATGGCAGGTGCATTTTCTCACTGCTGCTGCTGGGTAGCAAATTTAATATTGCTTATATTAAGGTTGTTTAGACCACAGTGCTGCCAAAAGTCATCATCTGACTTGTCAGAGCTTGGCTTTGTGTGGCTGTTCCTTGGTGGGACCCATTTTTTGTCCTACTGTGCACTTTCATTTTTGCTTTTCATATGAAGATCTAGGAGAATTTCTGCTTCTCCTATGCTGTTTCTTGGTCTCTTAAAATTTTTCAGAACCAGCATGAGATTTTGTTGAGGTGTCATTTACATGTAACCATGTTTTAGTCAGGAAGCCAAAGCTATTAAAGTGACACCACTGAAACTACTCCTTCAGGACAAGGTTCCATAAACGGAAAATGCTATTTTTTTCTGTCTTTTCAACACAAACTCAGCATCTTTCACTTTTATGGCTCTCAGGACCAGCTGCAGTCGTGGATTCGGGGAAATGTGAGCGTCTGTCCCCGCTCACTCTTCATTTTTGATGAAATGGATAAAATGCACGCAGGGCTCATTGACTCCATCAAGCCCTTCCTGGACTACTATGAGCTGCTGGATGGGGTGTCCTACAGACAAGCCATCTTCATCTTCCTCAGGTAAACAGTGGCTTCTCAGGGTGGCTGTTCTGTCCACTCCATGCTTTTACTTCATAACTGCAATTTTTAATACCACCCCCTACTGCAATCTCTGTTTTCTCTTTACGTAGCAATGCAGGAGCTGAAAAGATAACAGAGGTAGCACTAGATTTCTGGAGGAATGGGAGGACAAGGGAAGACATCCAGCTAACAGATATCCAAAATGCACTCTCTGTGTCTGTCTTCAACAACAAAAATAGTGAGTAAAGCTGGGATTGCTTTTGAGGTGCTGAAAGTTACACAAAAGGGATGGGCTGCATTTAGATGCATTTTTACAAGCCATGGTTTCTTCTTGATGTGGCCTCAGTTTTTGGCTTGTGAGGAGCAAAAATGCAGTTTTGGGGCCTGCAGTTGGCTCCCGGGATGGGTGAATATTCAGGAGCTCATTGTGCACCTTGGCCACCAGCCTGTTTGCTGCATGTTTTGGGGGAAGTGCTTCACAGGTTTCCTCACACAGAACTTCTGGTGAAAAAAGGTTTTAACATAATTATGCTCTGAATTTAGCATTGGAAGCAAACTCACTGTACTTCTTAAGAAGTTTAGATATAAGGTCCAAAAAAAAGGAATAAGAAATCTGGTCTGGGAGAGCTGGTAAGAGAGAAAATCTGTCCCTCTCTAGGTGAGAGAGGGAGAGGTTTGAGACCAGCACCTGGAGAGCAAGGCTCAAGCACAAAAATTCATTCATTCAGCCTAAAGGACCACATTTATGTGTCTGTCCAAAATTTTATGCACAGAGTAACATGAGAAGGGTTTGTATTGACTTGTCCATTACAGTGCCTAAAATCCTGGGAGAATTCTTAGCTGTGATCTGCCCCTTGCTCCCATTGAACCCATGGTAGTGTTTAACTAGAGAAATGCTAACAAACCTCTTTCCCTTCGCAGGTGGATTTTGGCACAGCACCTTGATTGACAGAAACCTCATTGACTACTTCATTCCTTTCCTGCCTCTGGAGTACAAACATGTGAAAATGTGTGTCAGGGTTGAGATTGAGTCCCGTGGCTACGCTGTGGATGAGGACATTGTGAGCAGGATAGCTGAGGAGATGACCTACTTCCCCAGAGAGGAGAGAATCTATTCAGATAAAGGATGTAAAACTGTGGATGCAAAGCTGGATTATTATTATGACTTCTGATGCTTTATTGCTACAACCTGCAAAGAAGCAAATTTAACTTAATCACAAAGCGGGGGACCTGAGACATTTCATTTTTAAGTACTTTTTAAAGAAAGGAACACTATTTTTTAACTGGTGTGTAAATAAGCAGCAGTGCCTCTGCATTTTTGTCACCATCACAGCTCCTGAGTGCTTCAGCCCTGTGCTGTGAAGGTAAGAAGGAACTGCTCTGGGAATTCCTGGATCTGGCAGGGCTCAAGACTCTTGAATCATGTGGTGATCATCAGAGCCATCAGCAGATTCCTGACAGGTATAGGACTGAGACTATAACCTAATTTTAATTTGATTTTGCTCTGATGTGGATGATCTCTAGACAATATGGAGAATTTTAATCAAAGTTCCTGTGTCTCTGAAAGCCTTCATTGGTCCTGTGTGGGAATATGCATTAAAAATAGAACATGTGTCTTTCTGCCTTCAACAGCTTGGGCCCAGTTAAGATAAGGGGGGATTCTGGAATTTAAAAATCTGGGCATACAGTGCCATTGTCTTTTTCAAAACTGATGTCTAATTTAGTCTCCTGTGTGTCAAACTAAGAATATAAAACACTTTGTTGTGAATAGTGCTCAGAGAGCAGAGTTAATATCACAAGGAAGTGAGTTAAAGTCCATAAATGCCACAGTGGTGTACTTAGTTCCTATTTTAGGTCAGGCTTTATGTTGCCCACAGCAGGCTCTCCCAGGAGTGATCTCAGGAGGGAGAGCTGTGCTCTGGGAGTGGTGAGTCAGCTTCATGGAAAAGCTGCAACGTCATGGGAAATGTGTACACATTCAATTTTACACCATGGAAATTGAAAAGGGATTTCTCTTCTTCACTTAGATGTTGAATTCAGGGGTCAGCTTGCAGGGGTTTCTCTTTTTCATCTTCTCACCATACTGTGTGCCTTTGAGGCAGGGATGGAGGCAGATCTAAAGGCATTTGAAAAAATAATAACCCATAAAATGTGTTTACTGAAGTTACTGTGAAGGGTGTCAGACTTGTTTCTGAATGTGAGCACTGCAGAGGCTTTTTACATTCCAGTTGCTGTTCAAAATAAACTTTTCTCATCAGAAATGTATTTCTTAGCTACCTTCTGGTGTTCTTTGCATTCAGTGATTTGACACTGATTTTGTACAAATGTATTCCATGTTGAGGAGGAGCACCCTGCATTCCTGGCTGTTCCAGCTGTGCTTGAGTACAGGATCTGCTTCTGCAGTTCAAAGGGCAGAGATAGGAGGTGTGACTGTGTTATCTGGTGAAACAAATCAAGCTTGGAATGGAAACTGCACTTCTGGACTGTTTATAATAATTACAGCCACGTGGCTTTTGTAGAGGCAGACTTCCTAGGTGCATAGGGTGAACTTGTCTTGTAGAGACCAGTTAAATCCCAGCTGCTCTCCTCCTCCTCCTCCTCCCACTGTGGCACCACTGCCTGAACACTGCAGGCTCTGTTTGAAGCCACCCACATTTTCAGTGGCAGCATCTTGGAGTTTTCTCTGCAAGGGGGAAAAAAAGGGGCCAATGAGGCTCCAACTGTCCACTTGCTCTGAAGGTGTGTGATAGGCAAATTATCAATTCTACTATTTGTCAGCAAATGAGTGCTTTGACTGCAAGTATCTATCTGTTTCTTTGACTTCCTGATTATAGTAAATAACTTAACTAATGGGAAAAAGCAGATGTAATGATGATAAATTGTACTCTGGTCTGCTACCAAGAGAATCAGTACAACCAAGCTGTGTTGTGGCTAAGATAGTTCTGGAACTATCTTGGTTCTGCTTTGTGTGCCAGTGCAGCATCAATATGAGTATTTCATAGGCATTGCTAGCCAATGTTTCTCACAGCCCTGAATTGCCCAGGGTAGATGGAAGCTTCCTCTGAAGAGCAGGAATGATGAGAAAGGGTGGAGACTGCCTCTGTTCAATCTCTGTTTAATCTGCAGACCTGGCCAGGAGCAGCTCCATTGGGTAAAAGACAGAGCTGTGCCTGGAATCACTGCCAGATTTGATCCTTCTGATCCTGTTGTTATTCCTTCCCTGTATGGTTTCAGAGCTAAGGTTCTCACTCTTTCTTGCTGTGACTGGGTAACTTTGGCCATTATTCTGTTTAATGGGCCATTAAATGCTGGATCAGACAAATTTAAAGGCAAGTGGCATTTGGGAGAGGTCTCCTGCCCAGAGGAACAGTCCATTGGCCAGGTGAGAGGAGCTGAGCAGTCCCAAGAGTGAATTCTGTTCTTGCCAGAGTGCAGGACAAGCAGCTGCTGCTTTAGTTCATCTTTCTGCAGGGAGCATTCTGAGATCTCACACTGCTGACAGAATCACAGGCCGAGGTTTAAATCCACTGAAATGGGAAGTGCTGCTCGCTGACCCCAGAGCCTGGGGTGCCAGGGAGGACAAGCAGCTGAGCTGTCCCAGGAGGGTGAAGCCCAAGTGAGCAGCAGAGCCTGGGCTTGGCTTCCCAGGCAGCTCCCTGCCATTCCCTGGTGCATCCTCAGAGCACAACACACAACTGCCCCTTCAGTGAGGGCTGAGCTGCTGCCAACAGCTGCCCCACACCTACAAAGGAAATGGAACAGTGCAGCTTTCTGGTACTTTCCTATATCTGAAAATGATTAACCAAGAGAGAAGAAGTAACTTAGGATTTATTCCAACTGCAGTACAGTAGTATTTAGTGTTTTGAAATAGCACAAATATTTTCTTTTTGGAGTAAGTGAAACTGGATGCAGCATATACAAGTATGAATAAATCAGTTAGTAGGGAAAACATCACACTGAAAAGTGACAGTCCAATGTCCCAAGGTTAATGGCTTGCTAGTGTTTGGCTCTGGAGATTGCATCACTGTGAGCAGTTTGCCAACGTTTGACAAACTCCAGTGGGGCAGTAAAAGGCAACCAACACTTTAAATTTAGAGCTTAACATGAGTGCTAAACTCTCTGTTGTAATTTGAATTAACATAATTGTAATGAGACCATAATTAGCATTACCTCTTAAAGGAAGTTTAAGAACAAGTGAGGGAATAGATGATGCAGCATAAAAACAGCCCCCTCCCTTGTACCAATTTAAAACCACAGTACAACCAGCAAAGTGAAAGGCACTTCTGTCTTGCATTACCACATTTGATACACAAGCCATGAGAGACTAAGAGTTAAAGCTTGCAACAGCATTTAAAACCCAGCCTCCCCACTGGGTGAAGGTTAAATTGATCTTTCCCAGCTTCTTAACTCATCACTCACCCTTTCACACAGGCATTCTTTTATAAAACTAACTAGTGAGGTATAGGCTTGTTGCTGTTGTTTACATTTTAGCATAAAAATACACTATTAAAAATCATTTCTTCCATTCAAGTGTCTTCCAAGCAGCATTATCCACACCTTGACCAGTAGGTGCAGTGGGGAAGGACTACTACAGAGCTCACAGATTTCAGGCCCAGGAGCCCACACAGATTAATCTGACAAACTGCAACAAATGAATTCTCATGATTGATTTTTCTGCTTAAGTACAAAAGACTGGCCTAGTATGTTGTAACAGATCTCTCAGATGGGTCCCTCAGTTTAGGAAGACCTGGAGTCACAAATTTACTTAGCCCCTTTAAAGAATACTTTAACAATTTATTTTTCTCCAAAGAAACATGGGGCAAGCTCTTACTTCCTCTTCCCCTGCTCTCTCTCTATTATTAAGTAACACATTTCTAGGAGCTCAGAATGACTTCCCATATTGCTGTACTAGGAGATGGAGGATGTGCCCAGCTGAGGCACAGGAAGATTTCTACCATGTCATCTTCTTACTGCAATGCACCAAGGAGTTCACCCCTGCAGACATGATCACAGTTCAGAACACAGCACACATCCCTCAGTTCCATTGGGAATGTGAACAGGACCATGTACATGGAACAAATTACAATTATCTGGAAAAATTCCTGTTTTCCTTTGTTCCAATCTAGTTTTTATGGTGAAAGAGGAATTAAATACTTCATAATCCCAGCACTGGAAGAATAAAGCAGGAGAGGCTGTATCCAGTGCTGTGTGTCACACCAGAAATTCTCTAGAGACTAAAAGAAAACTAAAGGGGGCAACAGTGGGATAGCAGCCAGTTCAGAGATGAACAGGCTGGATGGGACTATCAGTGACCTAACTCATAGAAGGTGTCCCTGCCCATGGCAGAGGATGTCACTAGATGATCTGTAAGTCCCAATACCATGTTAAGTTTAAAAAAAAAAAAAAAACAAAAAAACCACAAAAAAAAACCCCAAAAAACCCAAAACCAACCAAACACACAAGCTACAAAGCCCATACAGCTCACTCTGGTATTTTCACCATACTCCCTGCAACAGTAAAAAAGTGTAAGTGCAAATACACAGATTTCCAAAAGCTCCAAAAGTGCTGTGGAGACTCAGAGTGGAAATCAAGCCCTGGTGTTCGTATCTCTCATCACAAAGTCTTCATGAATATCCAGCTTGGCCTGCACAGTCTTGCAGCCTTTATCAGAGTAGATCCTCTGCTCCTTGGGGAAGTAGGTCATCTCATCTGCCACTTCCTGAACAATCTTCTCATCCACAGCATAGCCACGGGCTGCCATTTCAGCCCTCACACACATCTTCACGTGCCTTTGCTCCAGGGGCAGGAAAGGGACAAAGTAATCAATCAGGTTCCTGTCAATGATGCTGCTGTGCCACAGCCCACCTGGATAAATTGGGGGGGAAAAAGAAAATCATAAGGAGTTTTTCTAAACTTGATCCTGCATATGACAGGATCCATAAACCAGGCTGTGTCGCAGACATTTTTTCACAGAAATCCTTTCTTTGGGATTTGTGCATCTTCTGGGAAGCAAAGGCCCCAGAAGAAGAATGTAAACAATTGTTATCAGCTGCTGTGGAATGCAATAGGATGCACCTGTGATTGGTTCATGTTCCATGTGTACAATTAAGGGCCAATCACAGGAGCAAGCTCAGGGAAAGATTCCCTGGACACAGAACTTTGTTTGAGGATTCTTTTCTATTCTATTCTTAGCTTAGCAACCCTCTGCAACTTCTCTTCTTATTCTTTTTAGTATAGTTATAATGTATTATATATCACATATCAATAAATCCAGCCTTCTGATCATCAAACAAGATTCTCATCCTTCTCTCACCCCAGCGACCTCATCAGGTTGCTGTAATAAGGCTGGATTCACAGAGCAGTTTGTCTCAGCCACTGAGGAATGAATTTCCCATTTTTGGGGCAAAGTGACTTACTGTTCTTGTTGTTGAAGACTCCTACAGAGAGCAAGGGCTCCAGGTCTTTCAGCTGAATATCTTCCCTGCGCTTTCCACTCGCCCAGAAGTCAAGAGCTGCTTTGTTAATTAAATCACCCCCTGCATTGCTGATCAGAAAAGAAAAATGTAGTGGTGAAAAACAGACACAAATGAACCAGAATTTCTTTTGCAGCCTGTTACATATATTACTAATCTCCTTGATATCAAACAAATCATCAAAAAGAATCCCGTGAGCCAAAATTCATGAAAAGTCTCCAGTTCTTTAAGTAGCCATCAGTGTTTGGTGGGTTGCCCCCAGCCAGCAGCCAAGCACTGACACAGCCACTTGCTTACTCCCTCCTGCCTCAGTGGGATGGAAGGAGAAAATAGGAAGAACAAAAGTCTGAAGATTTGTGGGTCAACATAAAGGTAATTTAATAGGAGGAGAAAGAAAAAAACCCAAGGAGGATTAAAGAAATCACTCACCACCCCGACAGTCAGACAAACACCCAGGCAAATGCTGAAGAACCATCACCTTAAAGATGAAACCCCTGAGAATGGCATGCCACAGTATTAAATATCCTCCTGGGCACTTCAGGTCAGCTGTCCCAGCTGTGTCCCCTCCCATCCTCCTGCCCACCCCAGCCTGCTGTGGGAAAAGCCTTGAAGCTTTGCAAACATCATCCAGAAACGGGCAAAACATTGGTGTGCTATCAACACTCAAAGCCACAAATCCCAAACAGCACCAGATCAGCTGCTCTGAAGATATTTAACTCCATGCCAGCAAGGTCCAGTACTTGGTACACCCATCCCAAAATGTGAACTCTCTCATGTCCTGTGCTCTGGGCCAGCTTCATGAGCTCAGAACACTGCAGTGGCCATGCACAGCATCAGAGCTGCTCCACTACAGACACAAGTTCAGACTGCTCCCCACTGTCTTTGCACAAAGAATTTTCCCTCCAGAGCATTTTTTTGCTCTTCTTTGAATGAGGTGCCCAAGAAGCATAATTACCATCATAAATAAACATTCAGTATCTCTAAATGACAGAAATCACTGCCACAGACCTGAGGAAGATGAAGATGGCTTTCCTGTAGGACACCCCATCAACCTCCTCATAATAGTCTAAGAAGGGCTTGATGGCATCAATGACACCTGGATGCATTTTGTCCATCTCATCAAAAATGAAGACAGAGGAGGGACAGGCACTGACATTGCCTCGAATCCAGTTCTGCAGCTGTTCCTGGAACAAGAGGTTGAAAGCCTCTGAAAAACAAGGACTTTACTGGATGTACTGCAAAATTCTTGTATATGACAGATTCTGGGGACACGCTATCAAATTTCAGTACCCTACACTCACTGGCTGGTGAATGAAAGAGGAAAAAACAAAGAAAAAGGTATAACCCAACACATGCAGACCAATGTCCAGCCAGAGCTAGAGCAACAACCACCTTGGAAACCAATGCTGCCCCATTTTTTCCTTCTTCAACCCCCATTTCTATGGCTGAGCATGACAGCATGTGGTATGGAATATCCTTTGGGCCAGTGGGGGTCAGCTGTCCAGGTCCCCTCCCCATTTCTTGCCCACCCCAGCCAGCTCGATATGAGTGGGAAAAACTAGCAAGCTTTGAAGCTGTGCAAGCACTACTGTAACAGCCAAAACACCACTGTGATCTCAGCATTATCAACACTGTTTCAGACATAAATGCAAAACACGGCCTCGCGGGGGCTGTGGAGAAGGTGCCTTCCATCCCGGACAGCCAGGATAATACAGCTGGAAGGACAAACTCTCCTGCAGCGAGCACGGGAATCAGCAGCAGATGGCATCAGTGAGAGGATAGCGCTAGGAAATGAAAACTATCTCGGGTTTGATTTCTCGGCCTTTTACTTTATGCATGAACTTCCCCTTCTGTCCCTCCTAAGCATCAACTTTGAAATTCCCAGCTGCACACCTCCAGCTGTCAGGAATATGAATCAGAATATTCTGAGTTAGAAGGGACCCACAAGGATCATCGAGTCCAACTCTTACATGAATGGTACAGGGATCGAACTGACAACCTCGGCATTATGAGCATCACGCTGAGCTCATCCCAGAGGGAACCAGCGGGAGATGTGCAGGACACCCCCGAGCAGAGGTTCAGGCACCCACTGCGGTAACCGGGCCACCTCCTGCCCTGCTCACCTTGTACAGCTTGACCTGGTCGTGGTGGGGGAAGTGCAGGGTGGCCAGGAAGAGATGCACGAACTTGCTGCGCAGGCCGGCGGGGTGCACCTGCTCCGCCAGGATCTGGCTCAGGTAATTCTTGCCGGTGCCGGCCCAGCCGTGCAGCGACAGCATCAGCGGCTTCTTGGGGCTGGGGTTGTTGCTGAAGCCCAGCACCGCCTTCAGCACCACGTCCTTGGCCAGGTGCTGCCCGAAGAGCCTGTTGTCCAGCTGCGCCTTCAGCGCTGCGGGGAGAGGGACAGCTCAGCACCGCCGGTCACCGCGCACGCCCCGGGCCGCGCTGCCCAGTGACCGGCCCGAGCTCGGGGGCAGCCCGGCCGCCCCCCGCCCCCGCCGTACCGGTGGCGTTGAGGCGCTGCCCGGCGCGGGGGCAGCACTCCACGTAGCTGCAGTAGAACCTGGGGTGCGACAGGTAGCCGGTGAGCGCCGAGGCCACGCCGATGGCCAGGCCCACGCTGAGCGGCTCCAGCGCCGCCAGCCCCGGCAGCAGCACCCACAGCAGCGGCACCGAGCGCGCCATGGCGGCCCCGAGCGCGCGCGCCGCGCCCGCCGCGCCTGCGCGCCCGCGAGGCCCCGCCCCGTGAGGGGCCGCCGCCATCTTTGTGCCGGGCAGGGATCCCGGGGCACAGCGCGTCACCCGCGGCCGGCCCCGCCGGGAAATTAAACACCAATATCGGCTCTTTGCCGGCGGGGGAAGTGTTATATAGTCTGGCTATGCCGGCCAAATTGCAGCCCCCGCACAGACACAAAGTTTTTTTACTCGTTTACACCGTTTTAACAAGCAACAGCATTATTACTCGCCAGTTCTAAATTACATCATTTTCTTCCATTAATTACTATTCTACTCTCTATTGCTTATTGATTTCTCGCTTCTTATGCTAATTAGTCCATAATTTTAGTCTTTTTAGTATCTTTCTCCTCTGGTAGGGACTTTACAATGAGTCTTGCCTAGTCTCCGACAAAATGTCCTTGAGATCCATAATTTCTGCGCTCCAAGTGTTCACCCTCTACAATACATATTTCTCTCTCAGGCTTTGTTCATTGAGATTACCAAAATGTAAAGTTTCAGTATTTTCCCAAGCTGTGTTGCCTACTTGTCAATGTGTGTCATTGGCAGCACCGGGAAGAGCCTGATCCACCTTCGTGGATATTTAGATATTTATACACATTAATGAGGTCTGTCAATGGCATTTGCCACCCTGATGGTGCCATAAACCAGCACAGCCCATTTCTGCTAATATTAACCAAGAAATCAGCAAGGAAAATGCTCCAGTACTGCTCAGAGAAGCAAGACACACAATTTCTTGTGGGATAAGGAATATTACGTTAGTCTGCCCTGTAGAATATAGAGATATATTGGGTCTCTGCCTTGTAGAGCCGCTGTGGGTGGTGACCCTTATCTTCCACAAACCCACCAAAAGAAGCTTTCACCACCCTGTGAAGGAACACCAGCTTGCCCTCCCCACTGCCTTACCTTTGAAATTCACAGTGCTATTCCTTTTGCAGCACTCCTGGAAGCGGCACCTGAGCCAGGAGTCGGAGGACAGGAGATGCCAAGCCATGAGAGCGCCCCCCGCAACCACCGAAGCGCTGAGAGGGTCAAAAGCCGGTGACAGAGTGGGCGCAAGAACAAAAATCACAGCAGCCTTCAGCAGCTTCATGGTGGGAGCTGCCAGCCAGCCTGGCTCAGCAGGAAAAGAAACCAAAACAGAAACTGCCGAAAAAACTTCCTGGAGCGGGGAACCTTGGGCTGCTGGAGGGGCTGGAAGCCAAGTCTCCTGTAAGCTGGAGGTGTTAATGAGTTAACAGACTTACCACGCTGCTCCAGGAGAGCTGAAAGTGTTGTGAACAGAGCGCTGCATAGGCACAGTGAGAGTTTCACCAGGACAATCCCAGCTCTGATGGGAGGAGGACTGGAACCTCTCAGCATCTTAACCAAGGTGCTAATTGGGCTGGTGATTAACGGAGAACACAGAGATGCTTGTTTTGGGCTTAATTGCGAGCGGTTGTTGCACACACAACATTACACAGCCCGAGGATTTCCGTAGCAACGCTTAGGGCTCTGCAATTCGCAGCGCTGAACGTGTCAGAAAGCTGCTGTGTAAAACCAAGTCCTCAGAGCAGATTTTTTTTGTCCTGACAACTTCACTATCTCCCCACTACCACAAAAAAAAACCCCAAAAAACAAAAAAACAAAACAAAAAAAAAAAACAAAAAAAAAACACAAAACAAAAAAAAAAAAAAAAAAAACAAAAAAAAGCCAAAAGAAACCAAAAAAACCCAAAACCCACAAACTCCACAACCACACCAAAAAAAAAAAAAAAACAACAAACAAAACAAAAAAAAAACCCACACAAAAAAGGAAAAGGTTTCTTTTCTCAGCAGTTTTTTCCCCATGAAAAAAAAAATTGTGAAACGCGCTTTTCAGCAATTCCTAATTTATTTTAAAAATCTCATCGGAGAAACACTGAGCAGCGCTATTTCGTATTCAAAATAACCTGCTCAGGATTTGATGACTGTTTTTGACAAGGGCGCCCAGTGCTGCCGACTGCCGAGCAGCCGGGAAGCGCCGATGATGGAGAATCCAGGCTGCCAGCTGCCATCGAGCCTTGAGGGGGGCACAGCTCACACCCTCGGCTCCCCATTCCAAGGCTGAAATGGGGTTTCATTCCTGGGTTTGCCCAGCTATCTGTCCTCCAAGCCCCGGGGTGTGCTGGTTTTCCAGGGCTTTCCTGCTGCTGTTTCCACTTGGACACCCAGAGAGCCCAGAGGCAATACCAGGCAGTGGGATATGCAGGATTCCATGTCACCTGGGCTCTCTTGGAGACAAATAACTTTTATAAAAGTGGTTTAATACCGCTGAAAATGCTGGGAGTTCTCCAGCCACCTCTTTCCTCTGCATCTGTCCGTGCTGAACGCTAGATGGGGCGTCAGACACAGGGTTTGGTCCCTGCAGAGAACTGAGTCATGTTTGAGAAAAACAGAGAAGCGTGGACGCCCATCTGCAGAGCTGTCGGCTTGTGTTGTGAAACGTGATTTCTCGGGATACACAGTGACCCGGCCCGCGGCTGCTGAGGGACCACAGAGAGCCAGAGCTGCGAGAGCCATTCCAGCAAAACAGCCAAAGTCATCCTGCAAAGGAAGGTGGAGGGTGTGGATAAAGAAATCAGGCTGTTCAGCTGGGACCGGCAGATTCTCGTCTATTTATCTGATTACAGTGGACTGGTTGCCTTTTATTTATTTTATTACAGTGTGAGCTGTTTGCCTTTTATTTATTTTATTACAGTGTGAGCTGGTTGCCTTGCTCACCCCTCAGGCTTCAGCAGGTATTTCACCATTCCCCTGTAGAATCAGCGTGGTCCAACAAACACAGATGTGGACTGTCACCCCTGAATCCCTCTGGGATAGAGGGTAGTGCCATGTTGTCTTGCAAAGGTGAATCAGTTTCATAGCAGACCTTTCTGACTGATACATGAAGGGGATGAAGTGTCCTGAGCAAATTTTTCATGGTGCTCTCATGTGTTTTCACAAGGTCTCAACAGCTCAGAAGGGACTGCATCTCCCAAAATACAGATGGGAAATCCAAAGTGATATGCTAGAAACAGCACAGAGAAGGAGAATTACCTCATCTGCAAAAAGAAGGGGTAGCATGAGATATATCTATAGATCTTCTCCTTTCCATGTGGGAGGGAGGTGGCATATATTTCCTATACAACAATAGGACGTATGCTGCATAACAGGTACCAGATGGGTGTTTAAATAATCTTCAGCTGCTGCATGTCATGCTGTTATCTCATTATCCATTACAAGTTAAATGGGTTCAAGCTGGGCCTGGACATGGATGAGAAGTCTAATAGTGGTGATGAGGCTGACATTGATGGCAATTTCCTTGAACAGCAGTCTGGAAGCTCCAAGTGGAGCACAGACCCTGCACCACACAGTCCACAGTGCAATGTTTTGTGCCTGTTGTGCTGAACATGTTGTTCCTCAACACCCTCCTGTGCCCTGGGCACAGAACTGGCATCCTGTCATGCCTTGATGTTGCCCTCCTGACCAGCACAGGGATGGGGTGGTTGGCCAGCAGTGGGTCATGTTGAACCAGCTGCCACAAGCTGGAAGTACTGAAAATCTGCAGCAGAGAAGAACTTTAGGTAGGTGTTCAGTGTGCAATAGGCTTGGGGTGTCTGTGATTTAGGGTATCTGTGATTTGGGGTGTCTGTGATTTGGGGTGTTGTTCAGCAGTGAAAGTGGTGTGGTGAAAAGGAGAGGGTGTGGAAAAGGGAGGATGTTGCAGAGAGTACAGGAAGGAGAATGGTAGGAATTTGGGGATCCTACCCAAATTACCCACTGCAAACACCAATATAGGGTGTTGGCACCCCAAATTACCCACTGCAAACACCAATATAGGATGTTTGCACCCCAAATTACCCACTGCAAACACCAATGTAGGGTGTTTGCACCCTAAATTACCCACTGCAAACACCCTAATAATTTGGGGTGCCAAAGCTCTTGTGGTAGAGGAGGCAATGAAGATGGGGTATCTGTGTTGCAAAGCAAGAGATAAGGGATGCAGAGATGGGGTGCTCAAGGCCAAGGGTGAGGAGAGGGAAAAGTCTCAGATGAGATTTTTGCCTGGCCTGACCCTGTTTCCAGTGTGCTGGAATTTCCTGCCACCTGCAATTTGATTGGTTTAAAGGCAGCACTTGCAGGACTTTGGGCTGGCTCACTTTGAGCTCTGTGGCAGAGAGCTCAGAGAATCTGGGATCTGGCTGGTGAGGAGGGCTCTCAGGGCAGCATCACAAGGCAGCAGAACCTCCCAGCTGGCTGGTGAGCCAAGGAAAATGTCTCCAGCCAGGGGACAGGGTGCTGGGAATCAGGGCTGCAGCCCCATCTTCAGTTCATGGAGTGCAAGGGTTTTCCAGGTAAGAGTTTCAAGATCTATGAATCAATGCTTTTCCCAGAAAAAGTCTGTGTTTTTGTTGGAGGATGTGTAAGGTCCTCAATATTTCCAAATGCTTTGTTTGTGAAAGAGGTTTGGAAATGTGCTGTTTTACATGAGTCGCTGGGCTGGCAAGAGGTTCCTGTGGAAGGTTTCTAACTGGAGAAGGAGAGCTAGGAGACTCATTTTTCCCTATATTCATTTTTACATAATCTCTCCCTGCCTTCTGACTCTGGCTAGATGCTCTCTAACAGCCTGAGTTTTTCTGAGAGGACTTTCCTTTATTTTTATCCTTTTTCTACCACACCACAAACCCCCCTACACCCCGTCTTGTGTGGTTTTGCTTTGTTTTCTTTCTCTGTTATAATTTCAGTATCATCTTCCAAGTGCTGCTTATCCTAAACACAGAGATGAGGCAGTGACAGGAAAGGGCTGCCACTCTGACGTACATTGGGATCTTTAAAGAGTGGGATTGTGGTGGGCTTTATCCAAATACAGAGCCTGGCTAAGCTCTGAGGACTACACTAATGCTGTGGAAAGGCTCTTGAGTCATGGAATATGTTCCCTGACCTTTCTGTAATGTGACAGGAGCAATAACACAAAATACCAACATCTACATTAACGTTGAGCAGACATTGTCTAATCCTAGAAACACCCAGGGAGTCAAGAGCCTGTCATCCTTCTCTTGCAGGTAGGAAAATTGAGGTTTGCAGATGATGAAAGTTTTTTTGTTTTTTCAACACGGTAGTTCATAGCAAAGGGTTTAACAATTCAGTTTTGTCACTGAAATGTTTACTCAAGAGCTTGAGCCATGATTCAACTTGGACGGGCTTCAAAATCCTTATCTGGGGCACAAAATCACAGAGTCCCTTGGGTCAGCGTGTGGTGCTGTGCTGTGTGAAGAGGGACAGTCCAACAGAGAAAGATTTGGATGAGTTTGGCATCTGAGTGAAACAGAACATTGTATACTTGTGCAGTAAATCTGCCCTTGGGAAATAATTCATCTGATCACATCTGAACACTTGTGAAATTCTGAGGTACCAGGAGGGTTGGATTTTGTCCTGGTTGCCGTCTCTGAAAAATTCCATTGAGAGGTTCTTCCCTACAACAAGAAAAAATGTTTCCTGTCTGGATGCCCAATGTCAAAGCCCATTTCCCTGAGCCCAGGTTGCAGTCAGAGGGCAGAATCTCATCGAGCTGTCCCAGCAGGGTGAACAAGCAGAGCTGGGATGCTGAGGTGCTTCAGGCAGAGCTGTCCCTGGTCTGCACCAGCACAGCTCCTCCCCAGAGCAGCTGGGACAGAGCAGGGCTTGGCAGTGCTGCCACAGCTCTGCAGAGGGAGAAAAATGGGATTTTTAATATGTAGGTGGAGCTACACAGGTCGTGTTACCTGGTGGGGATGGGAGGGAAGGTGTTTGTGTTTCAGCTGTGCTCCATTGTAGGTGAAGGAAGCTGCTGTCTCACGTTTCTTGCCTACCGTGGGAACCTGCTGGAAGTTGAATGTTTTGTAGATAAGCACAAGGTGACAATGCTGGCAGGACACTGCTCTGCTCTTCATGGAGTGAGTCCTGGTGCTGGAACCTGCTTGATCTTTCGCACATATCAACTCCACGAAGCAGGGATGGACGGAGATGGTCTTTCTCAGAACAAGCACATGGAATTATTAAAGTGCCTGGCAGCCAAAATAGCTCTGTTCCCACAGGCCACTGTGTGTTCCAGAGGCAGGAGGGATGGAGGGAGGCAGCCACTGGGCTTTGGAACCAGAGGTTTATTATGTTCATATGAAAAAGAGTTGCCAGGAATGCTACAGGAAGAGAAGAGTTTTTAAATCTGTACTTGAGCAATCTAAAGAAGTGTCTACTTCTCAAATGGACTTTTACATCCTGGACACACTCCAGTCTCATATTTTGGTGCTAGGAATTAAGTTAAGGAATAGCTTGGAGAAAATTGCTATTAAGATTAAACTACTGGTTAACTACTGTTAACTACCAGAGCTGAGAGAC